TCAGAATTTTTTCAAAAAAAGAAAAAAATAATAATAACGACCTCAGTATCTACTAAAACCACTCTGAATCCAAAAAAGTCCAAAAACCTCATATTTCGATCGAAAATCTCCGAAAAAAAAAGGGAAAGAAATCCGGAAAAAAATGGAGCGCCTCAGGATGTGCTTCAAACGTGTCAAATAAAGTCTTCATTTGCAGATTTCCCTTCCTTTTTTTCCCTGAGATTTTTCTCTGAGATTAAAGGTTTCGAATTTCTTCGCTAGAACTTTGAAATTTGGGAACATGGAGAGTGGAAAATTTGAATTTAAAAAAATTTTTTTAAATAAAAAAACAAAAAAATTAAAAAAATAACTTTGTAATCCTCTTGAAACAGGAAAGTGGTGGTAAAGAGGAATTTCAAAAAAAATTTTTTTTCATTTTAAAACTTCTAGTTGATCAGTTTTTTACGTGAAATTTCGAATATTTTTAAACTTCCTATCCCAAAAAAATCTCCTTCAAGCTCAAATCCTCGAAAAAATACACGAAAAACCAAATTTTCAAAATTTTTCCCTGGGAGGTGTTACTTCAAAAAACCATCAAAAACGAGAAAATTTCTCTATTTTCGGAAGTAAAAAGAGAACTTCAGCGGCTCTTGCATAATTTATTGCACTTTCCTTTGGTTTCAAAAGAAGTTTTCGCCTGAAAAAAGAGTCGGTTTTTGACTTTTGAATGTATCAAAAGTTATGTTTTTTACTCGGAAAAAAGGAAAAAACTTACATTTTTAATGAAAAAAGAATCAATGGACATTTTGACTTTCAAAAAACAAAAAAAATCCAAATTCCTTCAAAAACACAATACTTTCTTGAAAAAATGTGACCTATTAGACTGCGTCATAATTACTGACTCCATAGAATTCCCCGATTTTTGAGGGATTTTTGGATCTTTCCGTACAAATTTTACTTTATTTTATTCTCCAAACACCAAAATAACACTTTTAAAAACATTAAAGCCGTTAATAATGCTTTTAAATCGAACAAAACCGAAAAAAATAGGAATTTTCAGTCAATTTACATTAAAAATTCAACCGATCATTTTTTGGTCTTTTTCCGTGAAACTCTCATAAAACCTATAAAAAAATTCAATTTCACTGTATAAAATTTCTTAAAATCAGTTGCGTTGCGAAAAAAATTTATCAAAACTTCACGAAAAAAATTCCAAAAACCCAAAAAAATTGACCGTGAGTCAATAATTATGACGCACTAAAAAAATTTCTTCATGTTTAATTTCCAAGTTTTTTTCAAATCATTTTTCCTGTTCAAAAGATCAAACTATGAAGAAAAAATCGCACTCGAAGAAAAATTCAAGAGAACGAGGAAGAAAATTGGCGGGTAAGTACATGGAATCACGCAACTTTCGAAGATTTCCAAGAATTTGCTAGATTTTTTTCGTGAAAAAAATTTTTTGGACAAAAAAAGGAGCTTTTTTTGGTTTTTTTAATGCTCCTCATATGTCTAGAAAAATTGAAAATCTCTTATTTTTTTAAGCAAAAAAAGAAGAGAAAGTGGAAAAAAATCGGAAAGCGTTACGTGAATGTGCATCAAACATGTCAAATCAAGTCATTTTTTTCCCTTTTTTTCTCTTCTTTTTTTTTCTAAAAAATGTCATAATTTTATTCTAAAGCTACAAATTGACGTTTTATTACATTTAAGGGTTCAGAAAATATTTATACTGCAATAAAAAAATCGAAAAAAATCCACATCTACGAAAAAAACTGAGATTTTCTAAAAAAAAAAATTTTAAATAGATTTTTTTTTCGTGAGAATCTCAGAAACTGAAAATCTATTGAAAAAGCAAATCTGGCAGAAAAAACCAACTCTAAAAGCCGTTTTATAGTCAAATTTTGGTCATAAACGAAAATTTGCGCGCAATTATCCATGGAGCGCGAATAAAGCCCGAAAAAAAGTCTGGCCGTTCAAAAATTAATTTTTTTGGTGTATAATCGTTTGCGTATAGTTTATGTTGTTCCTATAAAACTTGGCTCTCCTCCAAATAATCCTTAGGAGCCTCTATAGTGGTCACTAAAATATTCCCAGTTAGTGGAAAAGTTATTTTTGAAAGTGCGTCGTAAATATTGAAACGCTTTTTTGGAGATCTTCTCATACGAAAAAAAAATAAGGAAAATTTTAAAAAATCAAGATAAATCTTCAAAAACTACATAGGAAACTCGGGAAAAGCTGGGCCTTTAAAAAGTCCCGAAAATGGATCATAAAATTAAAAGTAAAGTGTGAAAAATGACGCCATCCATAACTTCCGGGAAAAAATGAGAAAATTAATGTGAAATCCGAAAACCAACACAATCTTCATGTGGAATCGGGGCATAAAAAACAAACAGTTGTTTGTCCTGAGGCTATTTCTTGAAAAAATGAATGGAAATCGCTTTTTTTTGTTCATGTAGTGCTCTGAAAAGGTCAAAAGTACCCATTTCTACAATTTTCGTCCAGGGGATGGTCTCCGGTGGGACTTCTGGATGAGACCAATTTAACTAGATGCACTTTTTCACGCTGATTCCAAATCTGGTTTCAAAAACTGACGAGGAGACCTGTGAAAAAAGTTATGGACCCTCAAAATTCGAAAATGGAAAAATTTCCGATTGAGCTCTTTTTTTGAGAATATGTAGATCTCGTTCTTCTGATAACAAAAAGCTAATTTTTTTCCTGTAGAAAAAGTTTTGAGCATAGATATGATTTTTCAAAGCTCGGCGCGCGATAAGAGCATGCGAGCGAGGTGTCCTATCGCGATCCGGCGGCATTCAGCAGCAACGGCAGCATAGAGCAGTGGTAAGGCGGCGGACAGGGGATCAGGAGGTCACGGGTTCGGTCCCCGCGCTGTGCAAGCTTTTTTGCATTTTCTTTTCATGCAGTTTTTCGTGATTTTTCATGTGTACGAGCATAGATTGGAGCGTCAAAAGTTTTCAGAAATATTTTTTTGGGTTTCTTTTCAGCTTTTGAGACCAGATTTGGAGTCAGTATGTATAGGTCATTCCGCTCCAGCTTGTCATGTTTTTCTTTCCGCCAAAAGCCAGGTCAAATTTCACCATCTTCGCTTCAAGACCTTTGTTTCTTGCCGTTATAAAAGCAGAAATTTGATCTAATTTGGTATACGGTCTTTTTGGCGGAAAGAAAAACGTGAAAAGCTGGCGCGGAATAGGCTATGAAACGACATCAAGAAAACATGGTCTCATTCAGAAGTTCCACTGTGAGTGGAGACCATTCCTTGGTCAGAAGGTCAAAAATATTCATTTCTACAATTTTCTTCCCTTCTTACAAGGAAGGCCATCTTCGTATCAGAAAAACATAAAACAGATTTCTCGGGATTTTTCTGAAAACTGGCCAGAACACTCCTTGATCTACCAGAAGAAGATTCTGGAAGTATCAACTTGCAAAACTTCTTATTTTTCGAAAAAGAAGACCTCGAAATCCATTAAAACAAGTCTTTTTGGGACTTTCAGGCCTTATTTCTCGAAAACTAGGAATTTTTGCAGGTTGAGACTCTCAGTATATACTTCTGATACATCAAGGAGTGATCTGGGCAATTTTCAGGAGAATTCCGAGCCGCAATTAAAAATGACCTTCTTGTTAAGAACGCCAGAGTGGCGGGGCTAGAAAAAACCCTATAGTGGACAAAATAGCAGGGGCTAGATTTTAAGTGGTCCCTATAGGGGTTTAGGGTCTGTATTTTGATTTCCTTGAGCCCAAGTGGCCCCTACAGTGATTTTCAAATTCATTTCTTTCCTGATTAGAAAATTGAACAGTATAGAAGCCCCCACAACTCTCCCCTACAGTGGCCACTCACGATAATCCCTAAAAAGGTCACTTTGGCTTCAACGCATCTAAAGAGAAGTGGTCCTTTAAGGGGTGCCTTCAAAAGCTCCTAAGTTTGCCCCCCTAGTGACCACTCTAGCATTTATAATTTTCTACGAATAAACTTGGAAAATTTTTCAAAAAACCGCAACGCGACCGCCACGCATCGAACCATTCCACGTGCGACCATGAAAACTTGAAAAAATTCAAATTTTCAAAAAGCCCTTTCCAACTAAAATCGCCTCATTTTATCCTTAAAAAAATATTTTTCTAAAAAAAATATTATATCACTTTATTACCACAGAAAAAACCAGAAATCATTCAACACGAAAAAAAAATTCATCACAGCTCATTTTCTGAGAAAAAAGGCCAATAAATTAGAATAATCCATCTCAAACCCGGGTTAATAATGAAATCATGAAGATACATTCTACATCCTGAAAAATCTGATAGAAAAAAAGAGGAAAGAGAAATTTTCTGGACAAGAGCCAGGAAAAAAGTGGGCGTGGTCTAGGGTGCATGGAAACCGAAGAACTCTGTTGAATCGCTTTTTCACTCAATTTTTTAATTGGGAAAGTCCTCTTCACAAAAATATGATGATAACTGTAAAAAATCAGTTCTAAAGGTCCAAAGAAACCTTTAAAAATATATCAATATCTTCAGGACCATTAAAGCTAAACTCCCATGCGCCTTTAAACGAAATACCGATTCAACAAAACCCTCTGGGAACACAGGATAAAGCTTAACAGATTCTCTGATGATGCAGCCGACTTTAAAGCGACTTGCGCGTTTTGGAAAGCTATCAATGAGAAACGCAACGTTTAGTCATTCCAAATGCGACCAGAAGGTTTCCTACTCAACGTGCGCCTTTAATAAGAAACATAGTAATGGCTCAAAGCATATCGAACAATCTGAAGTTGCGCCCGACCAAAAACGACTTGCGCATTCATTCAAGAGCTTGAAGACTTATAACGATAACCGCAACGCTTCAAGCCATTCCAAGTGCGACCAGAGGGTTTCCTACTTGCTCTTTGCCTTTAATAAGAAACATGGGAACGGCTCAAAGTTGCGCCCGACCAAAAGCGACTTGCGCGTGGATTTATTTAAGAACGACCGCAACTCTTTGAGCCATTCCAAAAGTAAAAAGAGGGATGAAATCAAGATTATTGCTTATTAAGCAACAGGAGTAGCTGCTGGACGGAGGCCAGGGCGGCGACGGCCTTGGAATCGTCGTCGTAGGCCTTGGCGGCGAACGAGTTCACGCGACTGAAGACGTCGATGACGCGCTTCCGCACCGGTGACAGCAGGATCGTCTCCGTCTCGGCGACGCCGATGTACAGCGAGTAGGCCTCGCGGATCTGAAACAGCAAAGTTATTTATATCATTCATTTTTGAGCTTGATGAACTCCGACCTGTCTGCGCTCTTTTTTCTCTCGTCGGCTAGGTCATAGGGTCAGAAAAAGAGCAAGTGAACATGGGAGAGTGCAGAGAAATCAGAAAGACTTTTATTTTCTCAATTTCATGTTGAAATGAGATACACGGAGCGGATATGTTCAAAAAAATGTCTAGAAACTCGATATTTCAACATGAAATTTTTAAAAAAATCCTATTTCCTTCAGTTTCATCCATCAAGGAGGCCAGGAATTTCTAGATTTTTCGATTTTCTTTAACAGCCTTTCCAAAAGCTTCCTTCAAAAAAAAAAAAATTTTTTTTCCAACCATTCCCCAATCGAAAAAGTGTACTGAAACTACTTAAAATCGATTCTAAAGACAATAAAATCTCCAAGAATATTCTGCCCTTAGCCAAAACCTCCGCCAAGGTTCATAAATAATAGAGAGGAGAAGCCAAAAAAGGTCAATTAATAAATGCGGGAGAAAAATGGCGAGGGTGGCGAAAATCCCCATAAAGCTCGAGATGCTGAATTTCAAAGCAGAAAGGGACGAAAATCATAAAGTCCTATAAATAACTTCATAATCGACTTTCGGAAATTTTATCATTGATCAAAAAAATGCGATTAGGACTTCAACTTTTTATTGACATTTAGGCTATGATTGAAACTGGAACTTTCTCTATTTTTGAAACTTTTTGAATTTCAAAAACCTAAATTTTTCTTTTTTTAACGTAAAAGTGCTTTTTTTGCTTGAAGGATTTCAAGCAAAAAAATTTCGATATTTCTTCCGGAAAAAAAAGTGAAGATGATGTCACTGAAACTGAAATATGACGTCATTAAAATCTTAATCTTCCCCCTCCAATGACGTCATAACGTTCACTTTCCTTTTTTTGAACAAAGTTTCATTATTTTTTTAATGTTTTTTTCTCAATGACGTCACATCATATCGCCGCTAAATGATGTCATTTTTCACTCTCAATGACGTCATAATTAACAAAGAAGATCCTCAACCGACTTTTATCTCAACAAAATACATATTATTCTTCAATTGTTTCATAAAGCTTGAATTTCCTCTCAATTTCAAAAGCTCACAACCTTTAAAATTAATGACGTAGTTTTTATTTTGCTCTATGACGTCGTCGCTCATTTTTCCTTAGTGACGTCATAAAAATAACAAAGAAAGTTCTGAACCGACATTTTTCCTCAACAAAATATACATTAATTCTCGATTCTTGACTAAAACTCTGAACTTCTTCTCGATTTCAAAAGCTCACAAGCTTTTTTTTTATGACGTCATCGCTCATTTTCCCCTAGTGACGTCATAAAAATTAAAAGAACAAAAGTCCTAAACCTTTTTTCTCAAAAAAAATATTTTTATTTCTCGATTCTTCGACGTTTTTTAAATTCAATGACGTGATTTTTATAGTTCTCTATGACGTCATCGCTGATTTTTTTCCCTAGTGACGTCATAAAAAAATAACAAAAAGAAAACTTCTGAACCGACTTTTTTTCTTTACAAAATATGTATTATTTCCCGATTCTTCCGTAAAAAAACTTGAATTATCTCTTTATTTCAAATGCCCTAATTTTTAATGACGTCATTCTTATTCTTCTCTATGACGTCATGGCTGATTTTCTTTCTCAATTGACGTCATAAAGAAGACAAAAATTTCAACTTTTGAACTTCATTTCTATTTTTCAAGGCTCAAAGTCCAGCCAAACTTAAAGTTCACCTAAAAATACGCGGACGTAACCCGAAACCCGGCCGAATAACCTATGCAACCGCGAGGTTGCTATCAAGTTTCCAGATCGCGTCAATTATTATACTCTTGAGAAGGGAAGGACAAACTTCGGGGAACCTGGACCCAACGAGTTTGTATGATTCGGCGGCGATGTCGCGGAGTTGGGCCGCCGCGAGTTGGGGCTGCTTGGACAGGTCAAAGTCGGACTTTAGCTTCTGGAAAAAGTTCGAAAATTTTTAAATTCCTGAAGAAGATGGTCTGTGGGGGCTGCTTTGAAGTATTAAAAAGTTTTCTCAAGGAAGGTAATTTTGAATTGAAAATTTCCGACTTTCTGAAAATTCTTCAGAACGCTCCTTATTGTACCAGATGAAGATCCTTGAAGCCTGGAACTTCAGAAAGTTCAAATTTTTCAGAAAAAAAGCTCAAAAATCCAATAAAAAAACTATCAAAGAAAAATTTTTTTAAACTATTTTTTTCTTTGATTTTTATATAGATAACTCAATTGTAATGCTTTGATTTAACATCAAGGTACATCCAAAAATCTCAAAAAAGCCCATAAAATCTTTTAATTCATAAAATAGTTCAATCAGTTGGAAAAACCTTAAAATCTAGTCTCGAATTTTTCCTCAGGAGTGGTGAAATTTATTGGAACACTTAGGAAATTCAGAGTGGACCCTATAGGAATTAGGGACACAAAAATCTCTAAATGTGACAAAACAGTGCTCCTTAAAAGGTTATTCAGGGTTTTAATCTTCAAGAAACTCTAAAGTTGCCCCTCTAGGGACCACTCTGGCGTTCCTATGTACTCGAATAGAACCCCTCTGAATTATTTAAACCATAAAAAACCCTTCGATGACCCATTAAGCTCCCAAATCTCTTTCAACCTCACAAAATTGAAAAAAAAGGAAAAATGAAATTTATTTAATTTTCAGATTTTTATGAAGCTTTTCATAAATCTTTCAACCCAATAAAGACTATGAAACCCTTGTAAACCCTAAAAAAATTTTTTTAACGCTTCAAATTCTTTAAGAAACCATCAAAAAACATCAAAGACTTCAAAAACCGTCAAAAACTCTAAAAACTTTCCAAAAATGCTCAAAATCCCCTCTAAAAACCATAAAAACTGCGCAAAATGCTCAAAATTTAAAATCTCAGTTTGACCAAGAAGCTTAGGGGTCACTTGACAAAGCTTTTAATAACGTTAAAATTACCCTAAAATCCCTCTGAAACTTGGTTTATCTTCAGAAATTATTGTGTCCTATGCATTTCTGACTTCAAAAAACCCTTAAAAATCGCCTAAAATAGTCAGGATCCTTCAAAAAAATCACCTCGTCCTCCGCGGAATCGATCCACGCCGCCAGCCTTCCGACCATCATTTTCGACGCCGTGTTCGTCAGTTTGAAGCAGGCCGCCCGGAGTTGGATGTCGATGACACGACGGCTGTCGCCCTCGTTTTCCTTGACTTCGATTGGAACCTTAAATCTCATCTTTTCCATAGAAATTTCCTAGAAAATATTATTTTACCGTCGTCAAAAGCTCCAGAAGGGAATTATTCGAGCTGAGCTCAAACCATCTGGCTTTCTGATCAAAGAGAATGTTGGTGAATTTGGAAAAATCGATGGAGAAGTCCTTGGTTGGCAGGGAAGAGTCGGATCTGGAGAAAAAATGATTGTAAGGGATTTTTTCGGTTCAAATACGTCATATTTGCTCAAAAAATCGACAAAAAAAGAAAAAAGTGATTTTCGAAAGAAACCCCCAAGAAAATATCTTTTGAAAAATGTGCGTTTCAATAATTATGACGCACTTTCAAAAAAACATCGTATGCTTTAAAAATTTAGTGGCCACTATAGGAGTTCCCCAGGGACTGCTTGAAGAGGTCACTAAAGTGGCCACTAACGCTTAAGTGGCCACTAATTTGACTACTATAGGGGCCACTATAGAGGTTCCCCAAGGACTGCTTGAAGAGGTCATTTAAGTGGCCACTAACGCTCAAGTGGCCAATAATTTGACTACTATAGGGGCCACTATAGGGGTTTCCCAAGGACTAGGTTACTAAAGTGGCCACTAAACTTTAACCCCTCAAGTAATTTGACTACTAAACATCAAAACCCTAAAGTGGCCACTGAGAATTTTCCCAGAAACGTTAGAACGATCCTGAAATGGAACTTTTTCTTAGAAAACGGGCTGTACGGTCAGTTTATTGCTAGGATTTTTTTTTTACGTTTTTTTACGTTCGTCGGAAAAAAAGTTCTATGGAGATCCCTCATTTACCTGGAAGCATGTCTGTATGGAGACGTCTGCTCCCTGAGAATCAGAAGATGTTTGACGACGAACAGCTCGGCGTCGAGCTGTTTCGACCTTCCGCCTTTGACGACGGCTGGCTGGGCCGAGATAGCCTGGGCGGCGATTTCCAGGGATTCGCAGCAGGCCAGGAGCATGTCCCGGGCCAGGGAATGGAACACGCCGACCTGAAAACGGCTTCTAGCTGGGATAAGATCAAGAAAAGTCGCTTCTTAGAAAAATATTTGGCACAAATCTAGTGGGACAAAATTTCTACAACTCAGGAAAGCCAGAGTGTTCCCTAGAGGGGTGAAAACAGCTATGGAAGGGGAAAAAAGTGCTCCTTATATGAGTAGATTTCAAGTGATCCCTATAGTGGTTTAGGGTCTCACGCCATAACCGCTTTAAGCTCAAGTGGTCCCTATAGTAATATTTTTGTTTTTCGTTTTATTTGACAGCTAAAAAGAACATGATAATCCGAAAGCGGACGCGGGGATCCCTAAAGTGATGTCGCTACTAAATTGGTCCCTTCTCATAGAATTCATAAAAGTTATAAACTAACATGTCCCCCATAGAGGCCACTTCAGCAAGCTTTATTGCCCCTTTAGGAGGAGGTTAAGTGGTCCCTTGAGAGAAAAATCCGAATATCCCCAAGGTTGACCTTCTAGGGACCACTCTGACGTTCCTAAGTACCAAAAGGGTCCATATTACATGAATTTGACTTCTAAAGACCCTTCCAAAAGCTCTGAAACGCTTTCAAAACTTCATAAAAGTCCAAAAAAAGCTCTAAATCTTCCAAGTTCTAAAAAAGCTCCAAAAATCACGTAAAAAGGTATTTTTCGCCTTTTTCTCTGTGTCGTAGTAACAAAACGAACATCAAGAAAACAGAAAAGCTTGCAAATTTTCGCTTTTAAGCATCAAAAGGCTTCAAAAAAGGAACATTCTCAAAAGGCTACAAAAAAATGACAAAAATGAAATAAAAATTGAAATAGGTATTTTTCTCGCTTCCAAAACTTCATAAACGTCTGAAAATGAGCTTAAAAACTCGTTCAAAACCTGAAAAGCTTCGAAAAAGTGACAAAAATGACATGAGTCAAGATATTTTTTTGCAATTTCTTTCTTTAGAATTGACAAAACGAACATCAAGACAGCTGAAGAGCTTGGAAATCCACTTTTCGAGCTTAAAACGCTTTCAAACCCTCAAAAAAGTCCAAAATAGTAGCTCTAACCTTCTTGCAATCGTTCAAAAAGCTACGAAAGAGGAAAACCCTCAGAATGCTACAAAAAAAGACAAAAATGACAATAATGACGTGAAATAGGTATTTTTCTAGCTTTTAAAACTTCGAAAACGTCTAAAAAGTAGCTCTGACCTCTTTCCAAACCCTCAAAAGGCTTCAAAAAATGACAAAAATGACTTGAATCAAGATATTTTTCTCCCTTTTTCTTCTTAGTAGTATCAAAACGAACATCGATACAACTGAAGAGCTTGGAAATCCACCTTTTCGAGCTTCAAAACACTCTCGAAACTCCAAAACGTTCTGAAACTCGTTCAAAGACTGAAACCCGTCGGAAAAATGACAAAAATGTCTTGAAATAAGTACTTTTCTCCCTTTTTTCTTCTTACAAATGACAAAACGAACATCAAGACAACTGAAGAGCTTGCAAATTTTCGCTTTTAAGCTTCAAAACGCTTTCAAAACTTCAAAACGTCTAAAAATGAGCTCAGAAAATCTTTCAAAGACTGAAACCCGTCTGAAAAGTGACGAAAATGTCGTTATATAAGTCTTTTTCGCCTATTTTTTTTTTCATAAGTAACACAACGAACATCGAAACAACTGAAGAGCTTGGAAATTCTCTTTTTCAAGCTTCGAAAACGCTCTCAAAACTTCAAAAACGTCTAAAAAGGTGCTCTGAAACTCGTTCAAAGACTGAAACCCGTCGGAAAAATGACATGAATCAAGATATTTTTTTGCTGTTTCTTTCTTCAGAATTGCCATAACGAACATCGAGACAACTGAAGGGCTTAAAACGCTTCCAAAACTTCAAAAAAGTCCAAACAGAAGCTCTGAAACTCGTTCAAACCCTCAAAAGGCTTCAAAAAATGACAAAAATGACTTGAATCAAGATATATTTCTCCCTTTTTTTTCTCAGTAAGATCAAAACAAACATCAAGACAGCTGAAGAGCTTGGAAAGACACATGACGGTCCTGCGGACGGTCGGATACCACAGACAGTGTTGGTCGATGGCCGCCACGGAGGACGACGATTTCCTTTCCAATCGGATTTTCCCGGGCTCTTCAGGCTCTTCATTTTGAGCCTTGAGCTTCTGCTCGTTATCGATTTGTCGCATCATTTGGAGCATTTGGGGGTAGGCGACATCGCCGGGCGCTGGACGGTAGGCCGCGATATCGTTCTGGGCGTAGAGGCCGGCTCTAAATCTCTCTATTTCCTTCTGGAAGATCATCTAAAAGACCTGTAGACGATCCTTTCCGCGATATCGCCAACAAGTTCGCTCATTACCGCGACAAAACCGGCTCTGGGGTTGAATAAAATGTCGAAATCGCCGATCATCGTCGCCACGACTTCCAGGGAGCATCGATTTTCGATCATATCAACCTAAAATCGATAAATAAAGCTGAAAATGACGCAAAAAAGCTTTTTGGAGGATGTTTTGAAATTTGACAAAATCTGCAGCTTCCTACTGCTTATAATACCAAAGAAGTTTGAAAAAACACCTTTTTTGGTCGGAAAAAAGATAAAATCAGCTAAAAATGACTCAAAAAATAAGAAAAAATCAGAAAAAATTAAAATTTGATGAATCTGCAGGTTTCTACTGCTTAAAAAAACCGAAGAAGTTCGAAAAAAACCAGCTTTTTTTCGTTGGAAAAAAGATCATATAAACCTAAAATCGATAAATACAGCTAAAAATAACGCGAAAAATCAAAAAAAAAAACCTTCTGGAGATAATTTATTTTTTTCAAAATCTGTAGCCCTCTCATATAAAAATACTGAAAAAAATTTCAAAACGGTCTCTTTTTTTGAAAATTTATTTTTTTCGATTCATTTTTCAGTTTTTTTGACTTTTTTTCAACGCTTTTTACCTCACACAAGTTTATAAAAAAACCTTAAAAGGCCGTAATATTAATTCTCAAAACCAAAAAGGCTGATATCATCTTTTTAGCAGAAAAAAATCAACTAGAATCATTTAAAAATTCATTTCCTTTCCAATACTCTCGTGAAAAAAATCGTCAAAAAGGTTAATTTCCATGTTGAAGATATTTTTCATACAGAAGACGACTTACAGCCTCGATTTTTTTGGATGAATATCATTTTTTTAGAGCTTGAAAAAAATGGTCAAATTCGGGATTATTGGACCAATTTCTGTTTAAAAAAATTTCCTAAAAAAACCGAGAAAAATTTTTTTAGTGGTTACTATAGAGGCTCGCCAAGGACTACTTGGAGAAAACACTAAAGTGGCCACTAAACCCACCTCTATAGTGGCCACTATTTTCCGTTTTAGTGGCAACTTTAGTAGTTTTTTGTCCAGTACTCCTTCCAGTAACTCTGATAATTTTAAAACAGATTGGACCAGTTATGTTGACCCATTGACCCCTAAAGTGGCCACTAAATTATTAGTGGTCTTGTAGTAGCACTTAGACCTCTATAGTGGTCACTAATTTGTAACCCATAAGTGGCCACTAAGTTGACTACTATAGTGGCCACTAAACCGTCAAGACCCTATAGTGGCCACTAAAAATTTTCGCAGAATGGTTATAAATAAAAAGAATGAAGATTAGACTTTTCATATTTTGTCACCCAAGTACAATGACGTCATTTGAAAAAGCTTTGAGGATGTGTAGCTCTCTGATTGGTTTGGGGGCGTAGCTAGAGCAATAACTTATCATTCTAGACAGACAAAAAGTTGAAAATTCATGAGATTCTGTTATTTTTTCAAAGAAAAATCGCCATTTTCTTCCATTTTTTTTCTTCCCTTCACCTTGAGCATGGTACAAAGTTCCGCCAGTGTCTCCAAGTACGGATTGTGGATGATCCTCGGCCGGAGCATGTCATACAGAAGTCGACAGAGGGATTCGGTGAATCCCTCGAAGGGATGGACGTCGGCCGCATTTTTGCTCACGCTGTGGTTGATCACGGAAGGAGCCGGCGTCGTCGGACTGAACAGGAGGATTTGCAGTTGGATGGGGGAGATTTTGGACCTTTCGGGAGCTTCGTCCCGGTTTGCGCCTCGGTTGATGAAGAATTGACGGTAGAGTCGGTATTCATCGTCGCAAGTTCGGAGGATGAAGGTACAGGCGTCTCGGGTCAGGCGACACGTTGACTCGGCGTGTGTTCTGAGAAATGAAATCTCAGGGAGCGAAACTCTTCTTAGAAACGCCAGAGTGGTCCCTAGAGGGGCAATCTTGCAGGCTCTTGTATGTTCCCCTTTAGGGGCCACTGAAGCTCGCAAACGAGGTTTTTTTGTTGTATAAGTTTAACTTGAAATCTAAATACTTGAGAACGCCAGAGTGGTCCCTAGAGGGGCAATCTTGGGATGCTAGAGTGGTCCCTGAAGGGGCAATCTTGGAAACCTTGTAGGTTCCCCTTTAGGGGTCACTGGAGCTCGCAAACGAGATTTTTTTTGTTGTATAAGTTTTACTTAAAATCCAATAACTTGAGAATGCCAGAGTGGTCCCTAGAGTGGCTACCGTATACTCCCCTTAAGGGACCATTTGGGGGCACTAAAGTTCACGAAAGTGACCTCTCTAGGGATTTTATTTAATGACCACTTAAGGGGAGCATGCTAGTTCTTCTTGTAAGCAGAAAAAAAATTGAAAGAACACTATAGTGACCACTCAAGCTCTAGGAATTCAACCCGAAACCCCTGAAGGGGCCACTTGACCCTTCTACGGAGCCCTATTTTGTACTCTACAGCGGATTTTTCTCCCTAACCCCTCTAGGGACCACTTTGGCTCTCAAAAATTTCGAAAAGTTATCCTTGGAGCGAAAAAGCAACTATTTTTTTTAAAGGCTTGTTACTCTCCATAGAAAAATTCAATGGATTCAAAAAAATCACGTTGAAAAGGCTCGGTGCGACTATAGGGACCACTTAAGCTTTAAGTTCAAGAGTCGAGTCCTAAGCCCCTATAGGGACCACCAGGGAGCCCTATTTGTACTCTACAGTGGATTTTTCCCCCCTAACCCCTCTAGGGACCACTATGGCGCTCAAGTCTTCGAAAAAACTATCCATGGAGCGAAAAAGCTACCAAAAATTTTTTTTTTTGCTCAATTTCTCCACACAAAAGTTCAATGGAAACTCATTCCGACGTGAAAATTCAAAAAAATCACGTTGAAAGGGCGGCCAGAGTCGACTGGAGGATCGGCGCGAGGAGAAGTTGTCTTTTCGCGAAATAGGCATATTGGCACTCGGCCAGCATTTCTTCAAACTCCGGAACATTCCAGAACCGTTGTTCCATGACGCTGATGGCGCCTCTGAAGGGAAAAAATGAAATAAAAAATGTGGGAGCCATTTCGATACAATCAAAACTCCAAATATGGAATCATAATCAATAATGAGACAGCTCTCTACAATTTTGGGACAGCAATTTGACCGATTTCAATGGGAAAAGATCAACTCAATCTGTCCCGGGGGCCGAACCAGCGACCCTGGGAGCGGCGGGCAAAGACACAGGCGCTGCGCCAAAGGAGCATCACTCGCTTACTTGACAGAGGCGGCACGTGAGGCGAACACGCCGTACAACAGGGCGAAAGTGTCTTCGTCGGCGCCACTTCGACCGATTTTTTCGTAATCTACCTGGAAAGTTGAGTTACCATAAGCCAATTACAAGTTTCGAAATAAAAAGTTGAAAAAATTCCTAATTTTTGAACACGGATTTTCATAGTTTTTCCTATTTTGAAGCGTTTTTTTTCCAGAAAAAAAGTAAGCTTCACAAATTTAGACCTTCTGGAACTTTACCTGACACTTGAAAAAAATCAATTTCAATATTTTTTGTTGAAAAAAGTGTCAAAAAGTCAAAAAAATTGGGCTAAAAAGGTAATTTTTCGGGTAAAAAATGGGTTCTTTTTGGTACGATCCTTTTTTTGGGCGGAAAATGGTGAAAAATAACCTTTTTGGATTTTTTTTTTTTGGTCAGAAGCTGCGTTTTAACCTTCTAAAAAGTGGAAAAATTTCTTCTCAGCTCTTTTTTCAATTTTTCAAAAGAAAGAACTTCTTATCCCTATTTTTCTGCACTTTTTCATTTTTCCAACACCTTTTTATCATCTTAAAAAATTTTTTCCTATGAAAAATGCAGAAAAGACCTCCCAAAGACCCCTTTTCAGCTAATTTTACACCTGAAGCTCCAAAAATTACCTGTAACTGAGCCTGTCGATCTTTGACGTCATTGAAACACGCTTCAATGTCCGCCAAAAACGCTGATTCGAACCCAAGTCATGGCTCTAAAAATCTTATATTTAATTTTGAACTGTTTAGGGGTTGAAACCGGCTCAAGCACTGTTCAAACTTGGCGATATAAGTGGCCGATTCGCGATATTCATTATGAGCGCGGAGGAATGAAAGACATTCGTCGATTGAGGCCAACATGGCGGCGAAAGATTGGCCAGTTACCATCAATTTCGCCACCGACAGCTTCTGAAAATGAAACAAAGTACATAAAAGTCTGGGGAAAATTTTTAGAATTAATTTACAAGACCAAAAAGCTGATTTCCCCTTTTTTTAAAGCAAAAAAATCAACTAAAATCATTTTAAAAAAATCATTTCCATTCCCTTATTTTTGCTGAAAAAAATCGTCAGAGGCGAAGCTAAAAAAATATTTTTCTTTAACAGAATAAAATTTACAGCCTAGATTTTTGAATGAATATTCTCCAGAGCTTGAAAAATGGTCAAATTCGTGATTATTGGGCCAATTTCTGTATAAAAATTTCCTAAAACCCTAAAAACTGAGAAAATTTTTAGTGGCCACTAGAGAGGCTCGCCAATGACTACTTGGAGAGAACACTAAAGTGGCCACTGGAACCATCCCTATAGTGGCCACTATTTTCCGTTTGAGTGGTCACTATAGAGGTTCTGTATTAAGTGGCCACTTCAGTAGTTTTTCATCCAGTAACTCTGAAAATTTTAAAACAAACAGATTGGACCAGTTATGTTGATCCTATGACCCCTAAAGTGGCCACTAAAACTTCAAGACCCTATAGTGGCTACTAAAAATTTTCCCAGTCATTATTATCTTGGATCTAATGAATTTTTGAAGTTTTTTCTCCCTTATGCCGAAGCTTTAAAAAAGAAATTCGAACATCCAAGCTTTGAAAATTCGATGAAACTTGTCCAAAATGTACTTCAAGAACTCCTGGTTCTATGAAAAATAAAAAACCCCAATATTACCTTTTCGAAAAGTTAAAAAAAACACCAATTTTCCAGGAATTTTGTATTTCGCAAACTCTGAAGCGTTACAGCTCAACTACACGCCAAAATTCCTCCTTTTTGAAATACTTAAAAAATTCCTCCAAACTTTCATAATTGAAGAGTCTCATGTCATTTCTATAAAAACCATTTTTCAGCTTTTAAAATCACAAAATCCTTTTTCAAATCGATGAGGGACATTTCAAAAATCTTCCCTAATTTCAGAAAGCTTACTAAAATGGATAAAAGATGAATCCAGCCGAAAAAAACTTTTTTTGTATAATTATTTTTATTTTTCTATATTGTCCCTATGCTATCAAAAACCTTACTCAACTCGAAAAAACCCAGTTTTAGGCCTTCATCTTCGCCTAAATGTTCCTAAATTGATAAGAGGTTTTCATAAAATCACAAAAACTCTTCTCAATTCAATAAAAGACATGTTCAAACCCCTCGAAACCACGAAAATCCTTCCCAACTCAATAAAAGACATATTCAAACCCCTCAAAACCACAAAAACTCTTCTCAATTCAATAAAGGACATATTCAAACCCCTTAAAACCACAAAAATCCTTCCCAACTCTACAAAAGACATTAGCAAACCTTCATAATGGCGTCGGCCTGTTTGAAATAATACAAGTTGGTCTTGATGAGATGGGATCCCGTCGAGAGGGCCGTTTGTTCGGCCAAGGCCCGGTCGCAGGCGTCGTGAAGCGACGAGGTCCTTCCGCTGACCGACTGGTAGGCGCCCCGGAGTTCCGCCATCCTCTGAACATATTTTGAAACTGGAAAGAAGATTCGAATCGCTTAATAACATAGGAAAAGTCGGAAGGGGTCAAAAAAGGCTCAAAAAAAGATCCTTTCTGCTGCCTTTTTACGCCATTTCATGTGCTTTTTTGCACCAATTTTGCTGCCTCTCCCTTTTTCCAGCATTTCTTGAGCCTTTGAAATCCCAGAAAAATGGAAGGCTCGATGAAACGACTCTTTTTGAGGCCTTTTTCGAGCCTTTTTGCAACCTTTTTGCGGCCTTTTTGCGGCCTTTTCGAGCCTTTTTGCAACTTTTTCGCTGCCTTTTTTGAGCCTTTTTGCTGCCTTTTTGCGGCCTTTTTGCAGCCTTTTTGCAGCCTTTTTCGAGCCTTTTTGCAACTTTTTCGCTGCCTTTTTGCTGCCTTTTTGCTGCCTTTTTGCGGCCTTTTTGCAGCCTTTTTGGGGCCATTTTGCAGCCTTTTTTGCTGCCTTTTTGAGCCTTTCAGCGGCCATTATCCACCATTCCTATTTTTCCCCAGTAATCGAATAACGCGCCGATTTCGAAAATCGCCGAAATTACTTCGACCAATTCATTGAAAATGAAAAGAGCGCAGAAAAACCTTAAAAAAACCAGTAGAAAAAGCAATTAATTATTACACTGTCTCGAAAACCATAAATTCAACTTGAAACAGGGAAAACACTTATAGCAACCATCATAAAATAAAAATAAAAATTACTCCCCAAGGATCAACAAAGCTTCATTTTACTTAAATTTTGAGGGATTTTGAGCTGATTTTTTTAAATTTTCTTTTCAAGACCTCTTTGCAGGCGTCGACCCTCTCGCGAAGGACTCTCAACCGTTGCATATTCAGTCTCAATGCCGCTACCTAAAAAAATATTAATTTTTTTAAACTTTTTTTCAATTTTAACATGATTACCTATCAAAAATGGAGCAAAAAAATTATTTTCACAGATTTTTTTCATCAAATTCTGCTTTTAAAAAAATCGATTTTTTTAATGAAAACTCAGAAATTTGTGTTTAAAAAAACTATCAAAAAAATGGTAATCAAGGCTCTCAAAAAAATAAATAATTAATAATCTCCCATTTTTTTAAAGTTCTTTGGTAGCTTACCTTCTTAAACCATTTTTTTCCTTCGAAAATTATCAAAAAAATGACTTTTTTTCAGGTCTCCAAAGCCAAAAAAACTAGAAAATCACGTTTTTTTAACGGAAATATTTGCCCTTTTTTCTTCAAATTTTTTTTTTTGAAACAGAAAATGTCCAACTTCGGGCGGATGTTGGGCCTCGATGAGCTCCGTTTCTCGACTTTTCACTTCAGATAAAGTCTCGGCAAGGGTTCCGGCCAACAGATTGTTGTCATCAGGAGCGGCTTCTGGAATTATAAACTCGAAATTTCAGCTTTTTATCATGTTTTGTGTTCACTAAAGGGCCCATTTAAGAGCTCACTTAAGTGATGTCTATAATTTTTCGTGATCACTTAAGTGGTCATTTTTCATGCTTCCTTAAATGGCGTGTTCACTTGAGGGGTCTTTGCCATGATCTCTAGAGTGTTGCTTACCATGTTTTGTGACCACTCTAGGGGTCTTTTTCCTGATCACTTGAGTGGCATTTATCTCATTACTCAAAACTCTACTAGAAACCAAAAATGCAGTTTTTTTCCGATTTAATTGGAATCAACGTGTTTTAAAGTATTTCTTGGGTGGTTAATCGAAACTTTTAGTTTTTTTCGCTCTTTAATCCACGGGAAAGCCCAACGTCTTTGTCAGGGAGGGTCATTTTTGAAAAAGATAAAATATTATGAAAAGAAGGGGATAAAAAGTTCAAGGGGGAATAAAAGGTGCTTTTTTTCCTTGAAAAAGTGATTAAAAAGGAGCTAAAAGTTGCATTCTACACCTTTTCGGTACTTGAAAAGTAGATTTCCCTCAAAATTTGCCCCTTCCTTTTCCTTAGTTTTTTTTTAATACTTTAAAAGTTGATCCTAAAACTGAAGATCCATGTTCCTTCGAACGAATATAACACGATCCTTACCATCCTCTCGGTCATCATCTGGCGGAAGTCCCCAATTCGCGACTTTCGCCGCGAGTAGCTCCACCGTCCTCACGTGCTCCAGCTCCATTTCAGGTTTTTACCTGTACTTTTTGAAGTTTTACTAGATCTTTTTCACTAAAAATTTGAGAAAAATCTAATTACTTTAGATATTATGGAGTTTCTGAAAACTTTGAGCTTCCTGGGATCATCAGAGTGGTCACTAGAGGGGTAGAAGGGAAGCCCCTAGAAGGTTAAAACCTAGGTGGTCCCTATAGGGGTCTAAAACCTGACCTCAAAGCCTCGAAAGCTTAAGTGGTCCCTATAGGGATCTAAAACCTGACCCTGAAGCTTTCAAAGCTTGAGTGGTCCCTATAGGGGTCTAAAATCTGTCCCTGAAGCTTTCAAAGCTTAAGTGGTCCCTATAGGGGTCTAAAACCTGGCCCTGAAGCTTTCAAAGCTTAAGTGGTCCCTATAGGGGTTTTCTACTTTTTAGTTTTTATTTGATAGTTATATGCTCCCCTAGAGGGGCCCCTTTTGAGCGTTTTTTTACCCTCTAAATGGGAAGTTAAGTGGTCCCTATAGGGGGAACTTATAAGGGTCGTTAATGTTATCCCTCTAGGGGCCACTCTAGCTTTCCTAATTTCTACAATAAATAAGAAATCTTCTCTTTTCAAAAAAATCTGAACTTCAAAACTGCGAATTTTTGGAAAATTAAATTTAAAAATTCAGTTCAAATTTAACAAAATCCTTCAAATTAAAAAATAATAATGGGTGGAAAACCATTCAATCTTGCCAAAAACATCAAATCATTACGAAAATTGGGAAATAGCTTCATTGCATGAAACGCAAAAAAATCAAAATACCCGACAAATTCAGAAAATAAACAAAACTTCATTTTAACAACATGAGAAAGAATAGAATAAATACATAGTGAAATAGGAGTTAAAAGTTCAGTCGAGGTATCGGAATCGGTCGCTGTTGATCTGAAATTGAATTATTATTAAAAATCGACTTTTTTTTCTGATTTTAAAGGCATAGGGGCAGTAAAAAACGGTGTTTCAGTTCAAAGCAGTACTTTGTAGAGTTTTTCATTGCGAATCGAACGGTGAACTTGAAAACGTACAGAACTTCCTAGTTTTGGAGAAAAAATAATTCAAAGCCGGAGAGAAGAAAGATTGAGTTCCCGCAAAAAGGGCGCGTTGCAGTAAAGTTGCTCTATGGACAACAGGCTTCGCCATCTTCCGGATTTTCCCTTTTTTTTTTCTTCGTTTCTTTCAATTTTCAATTTTTTCTGTTGTCACCAAAGTTCTTTTCGTCACAAAAGATTTCTATTCATGTATAATTTGCAAGCTTTAATCAAAAATGCTTCTCTGGGGAAAAATGATGATTTTACACAGGTTTCGATTGGGATAGCGATATTTTGTGTTTTCTTTATTATCGCTGTATATTTTTTGTTTGACTTAATGTTTTTTTCAGGAAAGGAACCCTTAATTTGAAGCAGAATCGCGTTTTTCTTCTAAAGCTGTCACATCTGTAATTTTTTCGATAGCACAGTTCGATTCGCAATGAAAAACTATATAAGATACTTCTTTCACCGGAAACCCCATTTTTTACTGCCCCTATGCCTTTAAGGAAAATAAGTATAAGACAACGTTCGAAAAATGCTCCGATTCGGGTAAAATCATATATTTCACGCTCATTTTTTTCTTATAAATTTGTGATACGATCTCAAAAATCCTTTAACAAATCGTTTTTTTCCACTCATTTCAGACCACGAGATCAGAAAAAAATCTTTAAAACTCTACTAAAAAAATGCGCTTGTTTTTTTCAATCTAATTTGATATTTTACATCAAAAAAACGCTTCGGTTCTGGTAAAACCAACTTTTTGAAGTTTATTTTTTAGTCGAATAGGATATTTCACTTCAAACTGCCTCCTCCGCTTTGAAAAAGACGATTTTAAGTTAATTTGAGGCCGAGTTTTTGAGAAAATACATCGAAAAATCCCGTCAAAATGCTCGAATTTTACTAAAATGCATTATTCTGAGCTCATTTCTCACATAAAATTTGAATTTGAGCTTAAAATACCTGATAAGCTTCGAGAATATCGATTTCAAGCCAAAAAATCGGAAAAAATACTTCAAAAACTCCCGTTAAAAATCTCTTTTTCTCATAAAGACGACTATTCCGAGCTCATTTCTCATATAAATTCTATATTTTCTCTCTAAATTGTTTAAAAATCGATTTTTTTTTACTGATTTCCAGTAAAATAACTGAGAAAAGTCTTCAAAAAATCCCGACTCATAGCGGTTTTTTAATAGATACACGGCTGAATTTTACACCGCTTTTATTGCGTTTTCAAAAAAGAAAATAACTAATCGAACCTTATACTTGGCATCCTGACAGATGAGGACAAAAGTCTGGCTGAAAGCGTGTTGATCGGCGCCGAGGATCGTCTCGCCGGCTACAGTGACCAGAATGGCCGATTCCGAGAGTCCAGCACCTCCGGGGAGCTTCTGAGCGTCGACACTCGTCAAATTGTGCTGGGTTTCCGGGAGGGATTGGAGATAACTGAAATAAATATTTATATATTACGTATCTTCCAGTTTTTCTCTACATCTATTTCGTAAATTTTAGTACTTGTGTGTGATAAGTAAAACATTTTGATTGATTGATTGATATTAGAAAAAAATCAATTTTTTTGAACGGATTGGTAAGAAAAAAAAGTTCAGTTTGGAGAGTTAGAAAGCGTTCAAAAAAATAATAGAGCAGACTATTTTTTTCTTTGAGCCAGTGATACGTAACATCTCAATGAATAATCTAGTTCGACTATAAGTTAAAAATTGCATTATTATATTTCAAAAATACAAAACTTTTAAAAATCCAAAATAATGCACAAAAAAAATGAGATTCTCCATAAAAGAATATGCGAAAAACATTTAAAATAAGTTCTTGATTTCTTGGCAAAAAAAACCGATAGAAAAAATAGAGACAATATAAAATCCACAATCAAAAAACAAAATAAATTCCAAACCTCCGAATACTGTCGTGTCCTTGAAAAGGATTGCCGTTCCAGACCAAGTTCGGCTGCTCCGAGTACAAAAATCCAATTTTGTCTCGTTTTCGATCCATCGTATCGTAGAATATGTCGACGAAAGCGCGAGCATCGCGGCAAACCTTCAGAAAATCGTGTTTATTCGACAGAAAAGAGGAAAACTGACTTCTTCGTCAAGTTTGTTGTTCGCGACGTCCATCTCTTAAAGAACTGTAAGTAAAAGTGAGTGAAATAGTCGAAATAAGGTAAAAACGACAGAAAAACGAAACTTTTCAAATTTTTCGCCGCTTAAACGTCTCACGTACAAAACATTAAACCTGACGCGCAATGCGGCCAAAACTCAACATCCTGGCTACATTAACCCCAATTTCAAAATATGACGCTTCAATTTATTTTCATTTTTTCATAAGTAGACTTTCCGTTCCTTGACACATTGCAACAAGGGAATTCAAATAGGGATTCAATATTTTTATTATTTTATCTTTTGTCGTAGAAAAAGGGGGAAACTCCGCTTCTTGAACCTCAAAAATCGCAGGGGACACATAGAAACGAGAAAAGAAAAAGACAATCGGTTAGGATAAGGCAACAACTTCGGGGGGAAAAATGAAGATGATGCCTCGAAATTTCCCGCAACAATCCCGTCGCATCAGACGCGGGGCAAAAATGTACACAAAAAATAAATAATTTGGAACGAAAAAAAGAAAAATGCATTAGAATCTAAAGGAAGACAACTGAAGAAGCTACAAGAGAAATGGAAGAAAGGCAGGGGGATGGTAAAACGAGTCTTTCGAGATATAAATTAATAAGAGATATGGTTTTTTTATTCGGCCTTCTTGACTTTGCGGGCTCGGGGAGATCCGGGAGATTTCTTCTCCTTGAGGGCGTCCCGCGGGATCCATTCGTAGTCGACTTCGGCGCTGCTGGTGCCCTGCTCCTGGGTTGGTCGCTTCTGGAGGCCAGATTTGCGGGAAAGCTGGGAAAGTTTGGAAATTAATTTGAGAAGCTCTCTTTTTTCTGTGATGACCTGAATCTTTGACCTTAAACTTCATTCTCCCAGGTTTTTAGAGCAAATCAAACCGAGAAAAAGGCTCAAATTCAAGAAAACCCGCTTCAAAATTGAACGGAAACACCGCAGAAATCGAAATTTTGAGATAATTTTACTCAAACTGACTTCTCTGCTTCAAGAATTTCAGAAAGGCTTTTCAGAATTTTAAACATATAGTTCGGCTTCATCCGTATCCTAATCAAATAAAAAATCCGAGAATGACTCAATGTCTATCGTCAAATTTTTGACACGAAAAAGGTCCCAGTTTCGAATCCCCTCCACGGCGAAAAGTGTTTTGCCGTCGAAAAATCGTAAGGAAAGTCAAAAACTTGAAAATTTTTAGATTTCTCTTTGCTTTCAAACTATTTTCAGAGGAGTAAAAAGCATATAGAATAATCTAAAAGCTTCAAATTACCAAAAAAAAAAAGCGAATTTTGAAACTTTTTGGCCTTTTTATCCGTTCATAAGTGAGCAAATCCACTAAAATTCTTGATTTGAAGGTCCAAATTTGACAATTTCTTAACTAATTTTCGAAAATTCAGGGGTTTTTTTCCGTTTTTCTACTTCCTCAAGCTGAAAAATCTTATTAAAGTTGTTGATTTTGGGATCTAAACTAGAGAATTTCCAAATTTTTCCCTAAAAAAATCAAGAATTTTTTTCTTTTTTACCTTTCCAAGCTGAAAATCACTGTAAATCTCTAAAATTTGAGCTCGAATCTTCAAATTATTCTTTTCAAAACTCTATTTTTTCTAAAATTCAGGCATTTTTCGTCCTTTTCTCTTAGAATCCTTGTTTTCAAAGCTCAAAATCTCAAAATTTTTGAACACTTTTCTCAAAAATCCATGATTTTTTCGTTTTTTTCCTTCTTCAAGGTTAAAAACCTCATCAAAATGCTCCATTTCAACACTGTCTAACCCATTTTTCATGATTTCTTTGATTTTCCGGCTCCAAGCTGACCTTGGAGAGGAACTGGTTGGCAAAGTACAAGATGAGGACGGCGATTCCGAGGAGGACAATGAGGAGGAAGCCCGTCTCGTGGTTGAAGGCCGAGTCGTCTTCGAGGATGTTGATCGTCTGGTTGTAGACGTTGTTCACGTAGTACTTGCCGTCCTGGAAAGAAGCTTTCGTTTGAAAAAAAGTTGAAAGTGCGCAAAATTTTCTCAGTACAAGCATAACTGTTGCGGGAAGTGCTCATTTTGAAAAATGTGATTTTTTTTCTTTTGTCATCTCAGTTCTTGAGTTGTGAGCCCGCTTTTCACAAAAAAAAAGCCCCGAGAATATTTCTTTAACGAGCAAAAATATATATCTTCCCTCAAAATGCTTTCAAAATCAACTCAACTTTTCGAATTTACCGTATAAAATGCCTATTTTTCGCCTTTTTTTAAAAAAATCCAATATTACTGACAGCGTTATGATAATAAAGGTTGTCAAAATAACGACTAAAACTTCAAAATCCTTTAAAATAACCATTTCTCCACCAATATCCTTCCTAAATCTCACGAAAAAACTCAAAACAAGTTTTTTCAGCTGTCAAAAATATCCCATTTTCCACCAAAATCCTCTCAAAATCAGCCTAAAAATCTAAAATTTCCCGTCCAAAATGCCTATTTTCCCTCTGAAAATCTGGAAACACTACTGACAGCGTCCTCATAATGGAGGTTGACGACCAAGCCGAAAAAAACAGCCAAAAATTCGTGGACCTTGAAAAAATATCCATTTTTCCCACCAAAATCCTCTCAAAATCAGCCTAAAAATCTCAAATTTTCCGCCCAAAATTCCCATTTCTCCCTCTGAAAATCTGGAAACACTACTGACAGCATCCTCATAATGGAGGTTGACAACGAGGCCGAGGGATCGTCCGGCGAAAGATTCGTGGGCGAAGAAGCCGTAGTCCAAAGTGACCTCCTCCTTGGGGGAAACGCGGCGGTTGTACTCTCCTCGGGTGAACTGAAAGTCCAAATTATTTTTTGATGATTTTTCAGGGAACCAACATTCTGAACGTGGTAGTTGAAGTCCATCGGGTAACGGAGCGAGGTTTCCGAGAATTTGACGGTGAAATCCTTCTCGCCGCGATTTTGGAAGCCGATCAGGAACTTGACCGGCTTGCCGCTGTGCACCTCTGAAGCATTAAAAAAATGTTTAGAAATCATGAAACTGGCTGTTTTTTCTCACTGGGTGCTTCTACACTTCCTCGACATGACTTTGAGCTTTCTGGTCGCATTTGGAATGGCTAAACGCATTATGATTCAAGTAAAACTCTCAAAATTATTCCCAAAATCCGCCGACTTGCGTTTTTGAATATTAGCGCGCGAAAGTCGTTTCTGGTCGGATGCAGCTTTTTCTCTTTTCTGGGGAATCATGAAAATGACTGTTTTTTTTTTCTCACTAAGTACTTCTAGACTTCTTCGACATGATTTTGAGCTTTCTGGTCGCATTTTAATTCAAGTAAGACTCAAAATTATCCTTAAAAGCCGCCGAATACAGTTTTTAATAGCAACGCGCGAAAGTCGCTTCTGGTCGGATGCAGCTCATTATACACAAAATCACAAGCTCAAAGCCATTCTACGAGCGACCAACTCATAGAAAATCAAAATCGACTATAAAATGATGAAAATACTCTTTTTTTCTTATTTTTTTACTTTCAAAAAAATCAAAATTATGATTTTTAAAAAGTTACAACGTGCAATTGGCATTCATTGGAAAGAAATTTCATTCAAAAATACTTGAAATCAGCTAAAAAAACGGCAGAATAAACTAAAATTAAACATGATAATAAAAAAATACTGAACTTTCATTTTTATTATTCAAAAAAATCTTACTTAAAAAAATCAGGCCTTATAAGAAATTCGGATATTTCTTGAAGACCAGGATAAATTCTAAAAGTTGATTTTTTTCAGTAGTTTTCCTTTGTTACTCGAAATTTTTCGCATCTTACAAATTTCAAAAAACTACAAAAAGGAATTTTTTTCTAATTTCTTCATGATATTTAAATATTTCTCTTGACCTCAAATTTCACATTGTTCTGAAAAAAATACAGCATTATAATGAAATTTATAGAATTTCTAACCTTCAAAACCTCCTGAAAGTTTCAAAAATCGCAAAACCTAACCATTGATGGCATTGGCATCGGGAGGGCTGACGAAAAGGAAAGAAAGGGAAGCGTCGGGAGAAGGTCCAATAGTCAAATCATCGTCGTCAGTTTTCGTGACGGTTTCCTCGAGGATCTCACCGTCGACCGCGTCTTCGGCGTGGGCTGAATTTAAAAAATCATGAAAAATGGTATTTTTGAAGCTTTTTGTGAAAATTGGTCATCAGCCTAAGAAATTAGCGACACAACTATTCTCGAAAAGTAAGTTTGAAGTTTTCACTTCAAAAAGACGGAAAATTGAAATTTTTTTAACATAAAAAAACTGTCCCAAAAAAACGTTGCAAAAACAATCTTTGTCTTCTTCTTTGTCAAATTAAAAACAATAATCAAAATCGACTTTTTTTGAAACAGATAAAACTCAAAAAGATACGAAATTCTGCTTAGATTTAAGCTCGATATGACTTTTCCTTATGACCAAAGTTTTGATTCAAAAATATATAGAGCGCTTTGAAATGAAACATTTACTCCTATAAAAAATAATTGCGCTCTATGACAAAAACTTAAAATTTGCCAAAAATCTGAAGAGGAAAGTTTTTTTCTTGAAGTCATTTTCAGCTTAAAACAAAAATATCTCAATTCAAAAAAGAAAAACCAACCGTAGATGGCTAGGCAACCCAGTAGAGCCAACAAAAGTTTGGATGAAAACATGCCGCTGAAAATAAATCCTCGTCAAAACGTCTGGATAAGGATGATAAAACAAAGATAAGGTGTAAGAAAAAGCGAAAAATCCGGGAAAGGTACAAATTTTTATACGTGGCCGTGAGAAACGACAGCTGAAAAGCGATGGAACGGTAAGCGACTCAACGGCGAAGAGCGAAGGGGCCGGCTACAGTACGGCGGCAAACTGCAAGCAGGCCGAGCGCTGCGATGATTCTCCATCTGCGAGCCTTATGCGCCTTTAATAAAATGACGGAAAAGGAGATTTCAATGCAGTTTTTGAAGAGAATTTTGCTTGAATCGTCTCTAAGTTGCACTGTTATAGTCTGTTCAGATTTTGAATGTCAAGTAGAATGACGTCATTCAAAAACACTCTGTAGATGGCTCGCTCTCTGATTGGTTTATCGCATCATTATGGGCGGAGCTTGAGCGACGACTTGACATTCAAAATCTGAACAGACTATATTCAGAAAAATGCTTATCCTAACCTCAAAGTGCATAAAAATGAAAAATTGGGAGAAAATTATGAGATTTTCGCTTGAAAAGAGTATTTTTCGAATTTTCAGCAGTTTTCCTCAAACTTTCGAACTTTCGTCGTATGAGAGCTCTAGAAAATGCTAATTTAGTTCAGGATCGCCGAAAATTTCTATATCATGCTCGAAAAATTAAAAAAGTCGAGTTATTGAAAGAAAATTCAGAAAAAAATGATACGAAACGACCTGCGCCTTTAATAAGTTCGAAAAAAACCTACAAATGGAAAAAAAAACACAAAAAAAGAATGGAGTAAAAGCTAGATAACGAAAAATAGTTTGATAAATTGGTAAATTCAAACTTCAGACATCAAAAATGAGAAAAAAATCTCGATGAAGCTCGAAATCCACCTCATTTTTCCATGAGAAAAAGTACAAACACCTCAAAAAAACCTTCATTTTTTTCCATGCAATAAGACAAAAAAACATTCAATAATAACAAAATTAACAAAAAACAACAGGAATTAACAAAAATCAGCTGGAAAACAGGGCATTTCGGTATAAACTGACGCCAGAAAGTGGAATTTTGGCAGTTTCTCCAATTTCGGGCTCCCTGATCTTCCGATAAGTGAGGAGCCTTCTGAAAAAGGAGATTTCCATGATTTTCTTTCAATTTATTCGAAAAACCGGCTCGATTTCCTCGTCAAGCCCTGTTCACAGTTGTAAATCAACTGCAAAGCCGGGTGCCGGGGCAAATTTTCTTCGGAATAACTGAAAAAATAATTCTGATTTTTTGGAAAGTGATTTCTTTCAAACTTTTCAAGAATCACCGGGTACCAGAAGGAAACCCGTCCATTGATGGTACAAATATCGGCGGCAAGGTCCAATAAATCGGTATAGGTGTCTTCCAAGTGGTAAACCTGCTTTTCCGGGTACCTCTGACTGTAAAAATTGATATTTTCGTGTCGATTTGAGAAAAAGGTCGCACTTTGAATGGCTAGATCAGTGTCGCGGTTAAAATCATTGCAAAAAAGATATTAGGGTTGTGAAAAATTACGTCCAAAAAGCCATTTGACTCCGTTTTCCCTGCGATTCTAACTTTATAGACAAAAAATTGACAAAAACCAGCATAAAATGGTCGCATTTGGAATGGCTAAATCGCCCCCGTGGTCGCGTTGTGGTTAACTAATTCTAAAAAAGCATTCGGACAATAAAAAACGAGATTTATTTTGATAAAAAAAAAGCCGTATGACCCCGTTTTCATCGCGAATTGACAAAAATGACCAAAAAGTGGTCGCACTTGGAATGCCTAGATCCGTGTCGCGGTTAAAATCATTGCAAAAAAGGTATTAGGGTAGTGAAAAATCAAGTTTCTTTTTCCATTAAAAAGCCATTTGACTCCGTTCTCATTGCGAATTGACAAAAATCACCTAAAAATGCTCGCACTGGGAATGGCTAGATCGGCGTCGCGGTCGCGTTGCGGTTAAGATCACAATGTAAAAAGATTATTTTTCGCATCAAAAAGCTATTTGACCCACTTTTTCATTACGATTCTAACTTCATAGACCAAAATTGACAAAAATTACCTAAAAAATGGTCGCATTTGGAATGGCTAGGTCAGCGTCGCGGTAAAAAAAAATCGCTAAAAAACATTTGGACAGGTAAAAACGAGGTTCATTTTGATTAAAAACCAATTTGGCCCAATTTTCATGCGACCTTTATAGACAAAAATCACCTAAAAATGTTCGCACTGGGAATGGCTAGATCGGCGTCGCGGTCGCGGTGCATTTAACATCACAGGTCTTTTTCTTGGCTTAAAAAAGCCCTTAGACCCCGTTTTCATCGCGACTTTCACTTTACAGACAAAAATAACCAAAAAATGGTCGCATTGGGAATGGCTAGATCGGCGTCGCGGTCGCGATGCGGTCCAAATCAGAGTGGAAAGCGTAGTAGTAGTGAAAAATGAGGTTTTTTCTTTGATTAAAAGCCATTTGACCCAGTTTTTATTACTATTCTAACTTCATAGACCAAAATTGACAAAATTTACCTAAAAAAGATCGCACTTGGAATGGCTGGATCAGCGTCGCGGTAAAATAATCGTATTAAAAGAATTTGGAAAGCTAAAAACGAGGTTTATTTTGATTAAAAATCCGTTTCACCCAGTTTTTCATCGCGATTACAACTTTATGGACACACCGAAAAAAAAAAATCCAGACTCTCGAAAATTCGAAAAAACTCAGATTTTAAAAAAGGACCTAAATTTGCGCTAAAAATCTCAAAACTTCGTGAAAATCTGAGTAATCACACTGTTATCATTCCGAATTCTGCCCCTTTCATTTGAAAAAAAAAAAATCATTATCCTATTGTCCCAGGGCGCAAGTAGTTTCAGGTCGGGCGCAACCTTAAAATCGACGCCTGATCCATTCCAAATGCGACCATCTTTTTCAAAATCAAGGCAGACCGAATTTATTAATTTTTTTTTTCAGAAAGAAGAGATCAAGAGATGAAACTCATTATGAAAAATAAAATTTAACTATATTCCTTTCTTGAAACAGTAAAATGAGTTATAACCAACAAATCATTGACGGCTTCATCTTTTTCCGATTTTTGCTCCTTTTTGCCGAGCTTCCGCGCTTTTTCGCGAACTCCATATGGGGCTGAAAATTCGTTGTTTAATTTTCTACTTATTCAAAGAAGTACTTATTTTCTGAATGTGAAAAAAAATTAAATTTCATCATATTACTCAAGAAAAAAGGGAAATTTTATTATTTCCTTGAAAAAATTTGCACGATTTCTATCTAAATCTTTCACTACACTAAAGATAACTGCCGAGACTGGCGCGAGAGAAATGCGAGGTCGCGACAAGACAGCTCGACGCTATCTCGCAAACTTCTCGTCAAGGTCTCGCGCGAGATTTTTGCGAGATGTTTGCGGTCTCGCCAATATATCGTCCGCCATCGTGTTCAATTAAATTGCAATTTTTAAATTTTATACATTTTTTTTAAATTCTAGTCACATTTGAAATGTTATTTATTCCATTTTCATTATTTGCAGTTATTTTATTGAATTTCGATGGTTATGCATTAGTGTTTATTACTCACATTCGAACACCAATTCAGGACTATTTTTACTTTATCTCAAAAATATACTGTTTCTGTGCATTTTTTTCAAATTATTATGCGTTTCTTTTTGTTACCGTATTTTTAAAAATTTTTGTTGCATAGACAGTGCCGCGCTCAATGTAGTTTCGGCGAAATGAAAAATCTCCGTGTTTTCGAAATTTGAGGCTACGACGAGCGCGTTTTTTTCAAATAGCCTCATTTTTTTTTTGTTGAGCTTTTCGATTAGTATACTAATCTTATAAGAATGAGTCGTTGATGCATTTTAACTGCTTCCTGTGATCTATTCTTTCCGATGATTTTTGATAAAATGGAAAAATTTTTTATTAAATTGACTTTTTTCAGTTTGGTGTCAAAAGCAACATAAATACTTCGAGGGCGACCTTCAGTAGGCTGTTTGGGTGAGTTTTTATTCTTTTTATTAAAATTTTCTCTGCATGAAGAAAACATAAATTAGTGTATCCAGCGCGCTGTAGCAATGGAAAGGCGGACACAAAGAGGCAAAAGACGTAGACCGTATTACTGTCCGGACTGTGAATGCCACATAGTTTGCACTTGCAACCCGGCCTGCCAGAGTTGCCGTGAATTTGCGACAATAATGAACGTAGTTTTCATTTGATTTTTACAGCGGAATTTCCAAATTCTAAAAGACAAACAGAAAGAAATGAGGATCTTGTGAACGTTTCTTTTGTTGAAGACTACGAAGAGATTCAATATGATGCTAGGGAAGATGAATGTGAGATTTAAGAAGTAATTTTTTTCACTTGTTTTTTTACAGTTTTTGATGAACCAGTTCAAGATCTTCCTGATCCTGAAATTTGTATTGCCAGCGCAAATAGAAACTTTTTACAATTGGTCAGAGGCAGAATGGCAGGCTATCAAGGATAGCAGTCCCTGTGATATTACTTATAAGGACATCATGGACATGAACAATCAGCTGATTTCGGACATTTTCAAAAAAAGAGACGATTTGTAATGTTTGCGATAGTGTGATTACTGTCGGCCTTTCGTGTCTAACTTCTTCATGTCTCAACAACCCGTAATTTAATGGCAAAGAAAAACTAGTTTAGTCAAATAGTTTCAGGCTGTCAAAACCTTTCACAATCACTCAAGTAGAACCTTTACCGATAATCACTGAAATCATCGATCGTATTGGCCAGAAAATTGTTTATGTTCATTTAAAACACCACTACGAGTTCTCCAGTCACGAAAAATTCGAACCGCTTCACTTTGAAGCTTATTCCCATTTTATCGAAAGTAAGGAAGATTTCGACAACGGAGTTCTTATAACGCCGTTAGTGGCTGGATTTGATGGATTTCTAAGCCCTGGTTCGAGGTGGGACTTTTTCGAAAAAGTGAAATTAGTTCGATTTTCAGCGGCCAGTTTTGGCCTTTTTTGCTCTCGTTTGTTGACTTGCCAGCCTCTGAAAGAGGTCACTTAGCTAATCTGGCCGTTCTTAGAATAGCTAATGTACGAGGCACACCTGATAGCAAATGTATGAACGCATTAGTGAAGGATCTACATGAAGAACTCAGAAAAGTTGAAGAAGGTGGCTAACTTTTTTTCGAAAAAAAAATTTCTGAATTCAGAAGGTGTCGTCGTTTTTTACAAAGGCAAAAAGTATCTCGTGAAGCCAAAACTATACAAATATTGCGCAGATTTGGCAGTATATTTATTTTTTTATATTTTTACATAATCTCAAGGCGACAAAATATTGTTTCAATGTCGATTCATGGAGTTCCTGCGGGCAGCCTTGTCCGTTGTGCTTTGTCAGAGGGAAAAGAGAAGGCTCGAGAACATTTTTTAATCTAAATGGAAATGCACCTCGTACGGCTGACCAGTGTTATGACGACAGCTCGAGAGCGAAAAACGGGTTCAAATGTCAGCTTTTTGCATTTTTCGAAATTTGGAAGGATCTACATTTTTTTTCAGCGCGAACCTCATTTTCCGAACTCATGCCTCTTTCTTTTTTTTTGGTAGAATACTTACATAGTTGCAGTGAAGGCGTTGTGAAGCGCATGATTCAAGGTTATTATTTTTCTGGTGTTATGAAAAAAAAAGCCAGCGAATTATCGAACGGCAACTTCTCCTAATTTTTCATTTTGCCAGGGAACTTTCCACCGGCCAACTTTCCGACAGTTTTCGCTTATATTTTTCGGTTTATAAAAGATCTATCAACTTTTTTTTTCCTATTTCTTCGTATTTTAATCATAAATGACTTGCCTACTTTATATCGAAAGATTCAAAACGAGGAGTTTATCGAGAAAAAAAGTCGGAAAAGATTCGTCGAAAAGGTGGCCGTCGGAAAGTTCCCTAGTGATATGAAAAAATCGGAAAAGTCGCCGTTCAAATTTTCGCTGGTCTTTTTTTCATACCACCGTTTTTTTTTGTATAATAGATTTCATTCGATGAACAGATATGCTTGGGTGCGGACGAGTTGTAAACGACTCGCTAAAATTGAGCGCTGAAGTTGCCGAAGAGGCGCAAAAAGCAGCTCGAACAGTGTCTCAAAGTTCATATAATTTTTGGTCAAGTAAAGGAGTTTAATAACTCTCTTTCGGGTACGGACATTGATGAGGTCACTTATTTTTTTCTTTATTATATCTAAATTTTTAGTTATAGTATGCCAACACAGTGGGTTTGGCGGCTTGTATGCACTCAGGTCTGCAAGATTTTCGAGCGCCCGCTTTCTTTGCGTGTCTTCTAGTCTCTCTGCGCAAAAGCGGAACCATGGGGATTGAAGAAGACGAGCTGGAACAGTGCGCGGAAGTCATAGAAAAATTAAAGGACGTTTATGAAGATGTTTTTCCAGAAAACACTCTTACTCTGAAAAAACATGTACTTATATTTCAATTTTTACACTATTCTAAAGCATCAGCATTTTAGATTCTTTTTTCTCATGGTCCTGAACAATTGAGGAAAATTGGTTCGTTTCATTTGTTCTCCTCCTCGATGCAAGAATCCGTTTTTCGCATTATGAAGAAATTAGTAGATAATGGGACGCGTTTAGAAAGTGTTCTTCTAAAAAGGTTACCAATTTTATGTTAGATAGTTCCGAATAATCAAGTTTAGAGTCGTAATCAACCAAAGAATGGTAGTTTTGCTTGAAAGAATGATCGAAACGGAGCCGAAATTTGCTTTGCGAGAACGGCTGAAGCGCACCAGGGAGCGATTGCTCCAGGAGTCTGTCAAAACAGAACATAAAATTTTTCTGGAACTTCCGGGGGTCAAAGTTCTTCGTGGATCTTTTGTGAACGATCAAAAAGTTGAAGAAGCAAAACGAGCGCTGAGAGCGTCATATGGACTTTCGTTGAACTTCTCGTTTGTTCAAAATATCCGTTTTTAATAGCATTCAGTTTAGCTCAAAAATTGAAATTTTGAAGTCGAAATCAATTTTTCGTTCGTCTTTCTGCTCCAACGTCAAATCAACATCGCCTTCCGCAGATTTGATTTGTATTATTGAGAACGGGGAGTTTTACGTAGGTAAAATGGCAAAATTAATAATTTCAACTTAGTTATGGTTTCTAGGGGAATTCTTGGCACACGCTTATGATTTGAATGGGTGTTCTTTCATTGCCTTTTTGTGTTTGCCAATCATGAAAAGTGCATTCCAAATTCTGGAAAGAAACTTGACTTTCCTAGGCGATTCCGCTTCATTGAAATTGAAAGATTGCATTCAAACGTGTCAGAAATTTGGAATGGTTTTTGTCCAAAGCCACATCCGCAAGCCTTTCCTGAAGACTTGCAAACTTTCTGATTTCTATGCACCATGTTGTAAAGTCGATTTCCGGAAAAATACATATTTTTTCCCACAAAGTCGCCTTCAAAATCATCATTGAGGGAAGTTATAGCTGTTATTTAATATAAATACCACAATTTTTCAGTTGACATGACGAAAAAAAGGAGGCAAACGTTGTCAATTCGAGCATCACCTGACGGGAGCAATAAAAAAATGTGGAAAGCGATGAAATGAATGAGGATGAGGTTTTTCGAATGATTTTTTTGTAAGAAAGAGTATTAATTTAAAAAGTGCTGAAGTTGAAATCTGTTTTTTTGACAACTTTAATAGCTTTTTCTATACTAAATTTCGAAAAAAAGGATAGAATATTGTCTTCAGAGTCTTATTGACGTCCGAGAGGTGGATACGTTCAGTGAGGGTAGCGAATTTGGTACGAGCATGAGCAGACATAGTGAAAGTCTTGAACAAGAAGAGTTTGGACCTGAAGCGCAATATTTCGAAAACGACGAAAACCAGCCCAATGCTCCTAATCTTGGCCAAATAGTCAATGAGCTTGACTATTTACACGAAGTAAGTTATTTTAAAAAAATAGCTAATTAAAAAAACTTTTTTCTTATTTTTTTCAAGAAAAAAATGTGGTATGAAAAAAAGATCAGCGAAAATTCATACGGCGACTTTTTTTCGATATCGCTAGGGAACTTTCCGACGGTTTTTTTCCGCCGAATCTTTTTCCGACTTTTTTTCTCGATGAATTTTTTTGTTCTGAATCTTACCATGTAAAAGTAGGCAAGTTAATCATGAATAAAAATACAAAAGAAATATGAAAAAAATGTTGATAGATCTTTTATAAACTAAAAAAATATAAGCGAAAAAAAGGTCTGAAAAAAAGATTTGGCGTAAAGGTGGCTGTCGGAAAGTTTCCTAGCGATACGAAAAAAATTGGAAAAGTCGCCGTTCAAATTTTTCGCTGGTCTTTTTCCATGCCACCGATGGTTTTTTTCATAAAATTCTGAGCGCCAAAAATTTATTTATTTTTTTAATTTGAAAAATTCTTTTGACTTGAATATTCAGCCGCTTTTAGTCTTGAGATATTCGCATTTCGTTCAACTGATTAGGTGCGTCACGTCGTCTATACGGCATCGTATAGTTTTTGAATTTTCGACTCAGCTGTTCGCGAAAAAATAATTCGTTTCAGCGTATCAGCACTCTTACCGAAATTGTGGAGGCAAACAATTCAAAGAAAATGAATAAGGTAATCGATCGGAATTATTTTTGTACATCGAAACATTTTCCAGAGAAATTTCTACAAAACGAAGCATGATCTCAAGTTTTTGGAAGAATATTGCCGTCAAAACGGTTACAAAACATTTGAAGTGGAAGTCGTAGGTTCATCAAGGAAAGTGTCTCTAGCTGAGTATCTTATTCACCGCTCGCGTACGGGCACCGGTATCGGCCAGGCGAGATGGTATTATCATGCCATGAAAATTATTCTTTCAGCGGTAGTAACACTTTCATGCTAAAAAATTTTCATAATCATGTTTAGGTAATTACTCAGGATAATTGGAAAATTGCTTTTGTGAGCAGTTCCTCGAGTGCTTTCAAACTGGCTCAAAAGAGCGGAGGTGCCATCGTCATTCCTAAAAAAACTATAGACACGATAATTGGTTAGTAGTTTTGAAAAAAAATTCTTTAAAGCTTTATAGAGATGCTGTTGATCACTTCTGACGTATCAAAAAAAACTGAAGATCAACGAAGCTATTTTTGCAAGAACTTATATGAGTGCATGAAAAGAAGTCCTGTAAGTTTTTTTCTTATATGTATCTCTCATTCTTTAATGAAGGGCAAACTTTCGACGCGGCAGAATAGCGAATCTCGTGACAACTGTTGAAGAAGAACTTCTGGCGCCAATAGAGGGGCATTAACGGTTTTTTTACTTGTTTTTTGATATCTTCTTTTTTTATTCTTTCTGGTGAAAGTTTATAAAAAAATTTTTCGAACGAAGTTATAAAAAAATTGGATATAGAAAATAGGAGTTTTCATAATATAAAACAATGAATAAAAAAATTTCGGATAGTAGAAGTTTTATGATGTCTAAAAAGCAATCTTTGTTGGGTCCGAAAATTCACAAATCGATGAGCTATCTAATTACTAGGTCATTTTTATCAAAATCAATGTCATCTGCCAAAGTTCACTGTTTTTCATCCATCGTTCGAAGGTTTTTAAAAAAAAGTTCGTATTCCAAAAAGGCTCTCTCACTCCACTTTCTTTGTCGTTTTCTTTCTCTCTCAAGACCAAAAAATTGATTCTATTTTCTTTTGTTCACCAGTAAAATTTCTTATCTGTCAACTACTAGTATATTACTACCCAGCTTTTTATTGTTCCCGTCAGAACTTATATTTTGATATCTCCTGATTTCCTTTTTTTCGATTTTTTTTTTGATTTCACTTCTGTATGTACATATCCAAGTTTTAAAGCAACACGGGCAAAGTCTGAAAAGTCTCAAAAATAACTTTTGGAAAAGGCCTCAAATGCTTTCTTTTCTCTTGACTTTTTTTTTTTGAAAAGGACCTTTTAAGAAAGAAAACTAAGTTAGAGGCGCAAAAAAGGAGATTCCGAGACACTTTTGATAGCTTTTTTTAGGATTAAGGCTTGTTTGAGGCCGTTTGAACTTTGCCGTGTAAGAAAAAAACTACCGAAAAACTTATTATTATTACTTCTTTTTCGCAGTTTTTCATCCTCAAAGGTTTATGTAATTGCATGTTTTTTTCGGTATTCATTGTTATTTCGTTGTTTCTGTATTATTTGTTGTTATTTTATAAATAAACAAATATCTCCAGACTTAGTAAGCTCATAAGTGAAAATATATTGAACAAGCAAGGATATATATATATATATAAATGGGGGCTAGAGCTATCCTGGAAAAATCGTTCAAATGCGAGGTCGCGCCAAGAGAAATGCGAGACATGCGCGAGGACAGAGCGAGATGTTTGCGAGCTCGTCAATGTACCGCCACCGACCTCGCATTTCTCTCGCGCCAGTCTCGGCAGTTATCTTTAGTGTAGTCATTGAAAAAAATGCAGTTAAAACTTTGATATTATCCAAAAAAACCTTAAAACTTTCTGAAACCTTGATTTTTTTAGTATCAAAATCGGAACTTTCAGCTTGATCCTTCAAAAAAATTTGAAAAAAACTCAGGTTTTTCTTTCAAATTTCATATGAAAAACCTACGATCAGCGACGATGACATCGATTTTTTTGGCCGAAATTTCCAAATTCCGTGTTTGCTGGAATCGGCAATGATCACGGAGAGGAGTTGGCCCTTCAAAGGAAAAAAATCATATTTCAGGAAAAAAAGAAATGGTCATAAAATATTTCTGATGCCTATTTCCATCAAAAAAATGACCTCAAAAACTCAGTTTCTTATCAAAATTTGAAGTTATCTGATATCAAAACTTGGAAAAAAAAGTTGAAAAAAATCGTTGAAAATGAACTATTTTTTTCAATTTCTCTTCTCAAAACCCTCAAAAAAATCTCCCAAACTGTTTTTCAAAAAAATCGTCTTTTTCAAAGCATTTTGAATGAAAATGACCTCAAAAAAACTCAGTTTCTTATCAAAATTTGAATGATTTTTCTGATACCAAGATTTTAAAAAAATTGAAAAAAATCGTAAAAAAATAAACTTTTTTTCTCAATTTTTTTCTTCTCAAAATAGTCAAAAAAATCTAAAACTATTTTTCAAAAAAATAAAATTTTTGAGACATTTTTAAAAAGAAAAATTTAGAAAATGACCTCAAAAAAACTCAGTTTCTTGTCAAAATTTTTACTTTTTTTATAAAATTTCCTCCGGAAAAAAACTAAAAAAATCTTCAATGTTTTTTTGCTCAAAATATTCCTTAAAATTTCACCGAAAAACCCGAAAACTTTCCAAGGGCGAATAAGCGACAATTTTTCGAAAAACCTCAATATTTTTGCTGCACAAAATTGGCCCGTATACTTTCGCCTTCTGTCCTCGTCAAAGCTCCTTGTCGGGAAGGTTTTTCCTGTAAAAAAAGGTTGGAAATGATCAAAAAAATCTCAAAAAAAGATAAATTCCAGTATTTTTTTGCATCTAATAACCTAGAAAACTCCATTCCAAACGAAAGAAAAAAAACGAAATAAAAATCCCTAAAAAAATTAACCTTTGAAAAAAAGCTTGTAATTGACCGAAAAAAATCTTCAAAAAGAAGAATTTACAATAATTTTTCCCGTCCAAAAAAACCAAGAAAAGATGATTCAAGATATTTAAAAAACAAACAAAAAATCGAGAAATACTAAAAAATGCTTTAAAAGACCAGAAATCTAAAAAAAAACTGAAATAACAATAATTTTCCTGCCTCTAAATCTAGAAAATTTGATACAAGACCTTCAAAAAACCAACAAAAAACCCAAAAATGCATAAAAAGTAAGCGAAAAACCTGAAAAAATACCGAGATTGAAGTGATTTTCCTGGACAAAATCCAGAAAATTTCATTTCAAATCAAAGAAAAACCAAAAAAAGCTTGAAAATGATCGAAACTTTTTAAAAAAATGGCCTTTACAGTAATTTTACTGCCTGAAAAACTTAATAAATTTGATACAAGTCCTCAAAAAACCAACTCGTAACCCAAAAATGCATAAAAATACTAAAATAACAGTAATTTTCTTGTCTAAAAACCAAAAACCAATATTGAAGCCTTTTTCTTCACCTAAAAACTCAAAAATTTTCCTTTAAAATCATCAAAACCAACCCAAAGCCTTAAGAGAATTTCCTGGGAAAAAAGATATTTAAAATGACCAAAAAAATATTAAAAACACCGATATTCCTATCATTTTTCCTATCAAAAAACCTCGACAATTTTTTTAAAAAACAAAAAAGGATCAATTTTAAGTTATTTCCCCGCCTAAAAACTCAAAAATATTCAATTTAAAGCATCGAAAACGAACCCAAAGCCCTGGCGGTTTGATAATTGATTTCTGTCCCAAGAACAAAAGCCCCAAAATGGGCGGCTGGCAGTATCAAGCCTCCTAAAAACTTATGGACCTTCAAAAAAATGGGCATATTTTCTTAAAATCACCAGTTCCCACAAAGGGATCCAAGACCAGCTCTCCAGGCATCACTTGGGCAATATTGGCCTTAAAAATATCGATTTTTTGAGTTTAAAACTCATATTTTTGCCTTTATAAGCCGAAAAATGAACCTGAATGAAGGATAATTCTGGATCCATGGTCGTATTTCCAATATAACGCCGATCTTGAAGATTATACTGCGATTTGAGGCGATATTGTCCGTGTCCGATCCGAAAATTCGAGAAAATCATACAATTTTTGGCATTTTGGAGAGCTTTGAAGCTTATTTTTAGAGTTTTCCGCTTTAAATTGAAGTTTTAGTACCAATTTATGACCTTAGAAACTCAAAAAGTCACTAAAATCTTCCAAAAAATCAAAAATTTTGATGAATTATGCGATTTTAGGCGATATTGCTCGTGTCCGATCCGAAAAAAATCAAGGAAATTATCGATTTTTTTGGCATTTTGAAGAGCTTTCAAGCTTATTTTTCAAAGTTTTATCGAAGTTTTTCAGCTTTAAATTGAAGTTTTAGTACCAATTCATGACCTAAAAAAATTCGAAAAGTTACAAAAAAATCTTCCAAAAAAACAAAAAAATTTTTCAATGAGTTATGCAATATTGTCCATGTCCGATCCGAAAAATCAAGAAAATTATCGAGTTTTTGGCATTTCGAAAAGTATTGAATGCATACTTTCAAAGATTTGTTAAATTTCCCCGCTTCAAATTCGAGTTTTGAAGATTTACAATGATACAAGGTCTTAAATTCGAGTTTCTTTTGAAAATACGGCCATAAAACTGTGAAAAACCATGTTTTACCCCTTTTAAAAGCCTGAAAATGAAATAATAATCGAGAAATTAAAGAAAAATTTTAAATCCTAACTTTGAAATTGTTTTTATGCAGCATATACCCTCACAAATATAAAAATTCACGAAAAATCGTCCAACAAGCCAAGAAACTCACTAATTTCCCGAAATAAATCTTTTTCGGGGCTTCATCCGTCGGATTTTCGTACTCCTCCACCAAATAAAACTCATTTTTCGGGGATTTCAAGTCAACTGGCGATTTTTCCAGAGTAAAATGGTCCAGGAACTCCTGAATTTCTTTTTTTTATCATTTTATTTTGAAGAAATTTTCGACCTTTATTCTAATTTCGGGGCTCAATTTCTTCTTTCTTCCTATTGAGCAAACCCTCAAGGAGTAGGACAGCTCCGGATGATCATATTTCTTGAAAAAATATTTTTTAAAGGAAATTTTATGTTTTGGAACCTCCAGAACACTTTTTCCTTCGTTTTCAACTAAATTATGAAGATCTTCGTACGAATTTGCGTGGAAAATCTGCTCAAAAGCCGATTTTACCAACATCGAACGGGAAAGAAGCCTTTCCACGTCTTCCACCGCTTCAAAATCAACCAAAAATACATGACTCTGAAAGAAATACTCACTGAAAAATCAAATAATCCCACAAACCTTCGCATTTATCGATGAAATATCAACATTTATTGATAAAACATCACAAATTGAGGCCAATTCACTTATCCGGAAATCCAGATGCGATTGAGAGAAAACTAGGACGGTTTTCATGTTTTTAACATGCAGCTGAAGACGTCAAATGTTGAAAAATCGGTTTAAAACGTGCAAAAATGGGAGAGAAATGGGAAAAATGAAGTTATCACTTAAGAACTTCCTCAAGAACTACTTGGAGAGAACACTAAAAAGGTCACTGAAACCACTTTTCTAAAACAATGGCCACAAAACTTTTAGTGGTCTAGTAGTACCACTAGGACTTCTAAAGAGGCCACTTAAGTGACCACTAACATGAAAAAACTCTTAAGTTGTCAGTTTCTGCTAGATTTCACATAATATCATCAGTTTCTCATGAAAAATCAGCGGAAATGATCAGAAAATTCGAAAAAAATCTCAAAATTTCGAAAAATGTCGTGGATGTGTTCTCACTCCGAATCCTACCGTGTTACTTATTCTCAATAAAAAATCGTTTTTCCCTTTTTTAAAGAAATAATGAGAGCTAGAACCCTTTTTTTAATCAAAACATTTTTTTTTCAACCGGGATGGAAAAAAATTCATTAAGTGGTCGAAGACAAAGTGAAAAAGTGCGAAAAAATTCATTCACAAAGAAAATTGGGAGGAAAAGAGATCAGCAAAAGAAAAAAAAGGCACAAGGAATAGGGGGAATAAGGAAATGGGAAAATTTAGGATGCTACAAGAAGATGCGATTTTTTGTAATAGAAAAATGTCTGAAAAGGCAACAAGAAGATGCTTAAAAAAGCTGTAAAATGAGAATTTTGGGACAATTTACGATTTCGAAGTCCTTAAACGTATTTTTTTTAGTTACCCATTCTTTAAAAAGCTCCAAAATTCTAAAAAATCATTCATCAAAGCGAATCACAACTTTATTACTATCTAAAACTTCAAGGTTGTCAAGGAACCATTTTAGAAGTTTCAAAGTCCAAATTATAATAAAGTTCATTAAAAGAACTCTTTTTTTTCTGAGTTTGACGATGAATAAAACGAGAAAATTCCAAGAATCATGGAGGATTACGGTGGATTCATGAGATTCAGTTCAAAAAGGAGTTGTTGGAATATCTTGGTGTGGAGATGGATGAGCCGGAAGAGGTAGATGGAGACGTTGGGGGAGAACTCGTCTTCGGAAAGCTCGTCGTTGAGGTCGCCCATCGGCATGGCCATGCCCCTCCGGGTGCACTTGAAGTCGGGCTTCACGTCGCCGCCCAACTCGGCGGCAACGTCAAGTTCCGGTTTCAGGTCGATCTCCGTCTTTATTTCCTGGTTCCCCTGCTTCTCGGCCGTCCGTCTGCACCAGTGCTGGCACACCTGGAAGCAGCTCGGCTCATTTTTGGTTTATTTGGTCGCATTTGGAATGGCTAAACGAGTAGCGGCTGCGGAGCTGTTACTATCAGACTTGATGGGGAATTTTGAGTGTTTCGCATCATCAATTCTAACCTAAAAATCTGTGGTAGGTCGCATTTGGAATGGCAAGACGCCTAGTTCTCGAGAGGCTTTGAAGTACAAGTTTCTTGGGAGCTGCCCAAAAAGCAATTTTCGTAACGACATTTCTTTTTCAAATCGTCAAAACTTTACTCAAAAGTTAAGTTCGTTGCAAAGTCAAAACGTAGACTGCTCAGGAACACCGAAGGGGTCCCTAGAGTGATTAGGGAAACAAAAGCCCCTGTTAGACAAAATAGTAAAGGCTAGGGGGCGGAAATTGAGGTGGTTCTTATAAAAGTATAGAGTCTGATCCCTAAGCTCCTAATGCTCAAGTGGTCCCTGTAGTAGTCTATTATGGTGATTACTATCATGCCCCTCTAAATTGGTAAGTTTTGCAAGCTTTAGCGCTCTTTATAAGGGAGGTAAGGTGGTCCCTAGAAAGGAACCATTACGAGCTCAAATTTCGCCCCTATAGGGGCCATTCTGTCGTCCCTGAGCGTTTTTTAGAGTGCTTCGCTGTGACAAAGCTTGAACAAAGCTAAGTCAGTTATAACGTTTTTTTTTTCCAATTTTAGATTCTGAATTTTTTTTTATACAGTAAGGTTGCTCTGCATTTCAAGTTTTCATCTTTAAAGCTACAGAAATCTTCAGGGACGCTTCCCTTTGGCGACCTGTCCCTGTGCATGCTCCTTTAATTTGACCTAAACACTCGAGAAGATGGATACGGTAGCTCAAGAAAAAAGGCTAGATGAAGCTGAAGTTTCTTTCTTTTCTGATTACCTTTCCGAAATACCGATAATAGTTGCCGATAGACGTGCAGGTCACGTTGACCCTGGATTCGATCTCCTCGTAGGTGTCGAAAGGCCTCGAAGACCATTGAATTCCGAGTCGGAAAATCTTCGACAGCTTCATATTGCTGCGGATCAGCCACGAGTCGCCTCGGATACTTTTCCGGCCCCCTTTCAGGCCTCGGCTGCAACAGTACGCGCAGCGCCACTGTAAAACTTTTTTTGAGACGAGAAGCTGAAGTGACCTCTAAAGTGAAGCAAAAAAGGCCCTACTGAATGGTTCATTTTTTGAGCTACTATCAACTGATAAGAAAGATTGAAATGGCCCCTAAAGTGAGACAAAGAAAGACACACTAAAGTGACCACTTCTGCACCTTCTACTAACTGCAAAAAGTTGAAGTGACCCTAAAGTGAAGCAAAAAAGGACACACTAAAGGGTCCATCAAGGCCCCTTCTATCACCTGATGAGAGAAATTGGGTTGGCTCAAAAAAATAAGACAAAAAAGGACACACTAAAGTGACCACTTCTGCCCCGTTCTGCAAAAAGTTGAAGTGGCCCCTAAAGTGAAGCAAAAAAAGCCCTACTGAATGGTTCATTTTTTAAGCTACTATCGATTGATAAAAAAAAATATAAGTTATCCCTAGAGTGAAACAAAGAAAGACACACTAAAGTGACCACTTTTGCACCTTATATCAACTGTAAAAAGCTGTAGTAACCTCTAAAGTGAGACAAAAAAGGCCGCACTAAAGTGACCACTTCTGCACCTTCTATCAACTGCAAAAAGTTGAAGTGACCCCTAAAGTGAAGCGAAAAAGGCTCTACTGAATGGTTCATTTTTTCAGCTACTATCAACTGACAAGAAAGGTTTTAGTGGCCCCTAAAGTGAGACAAAGGAAGATACACTAAAGTGACCACTTCTGCACCTTCTATGAACTAGGAAAAATGGAAGTGACCCCTCGAATGAAATTAAAAAGGCCACCCTAAAGAATTTCAAGAAATTCGCTTTTCAACATTAATTCTCTTCTTCTTGAGCTTTTTTTACCGTTTGAGCCTCAAGTCGATAACCTAATATCAGTGGTGATCTATTAATAAACCTTAATTATGAAGCCGTGACTTCCCACTCTACCTAAATTTCTTAAACTCCTTGGTGGGGTTCGAACTTGTGACCCTTTGGACCGTGGACAGGCACAAAGTATATTACTATTAACCTACTCATACCTCATATTGATCATTAATCGCCGGTTTGGCGATAAGGTTCATTTGTCGGGAGCAAGTAGAACAAATCACTTCGTTTCGAATAATCCCATATTTGGCGAGAAACTTGAGCGTTTTCATCATTCCTTCGGCTAAAAATTGACTTTTTCTAGCTTTTTATCACATGTTTTTTGAAAAAAGTGATGGTACAAGAATTTCAAGTTTCGTTTTGAGAGTTGAAATTATTATCACAGTTACTTGACTATATGTGTAAACTTTTAGGCTAGTCACTGTGAGGCTCCGCCCCCTCACTGAGATACGGTAGGAGTTTTAGATAAATTTTGTAACTTTTTTCCTAGTTGCCAGTCCAAAATTTTTTTGAACTAAAGATTTCATCAAAATGTTTTATTTCTCACACACAAGTACTAAATTTCCCGAAATAGATGTAGGGACAGAAGAAATCGTTAAAAGCCTGAGCTTTCTCATGATCATCGTTGGTGCATCCATTTTTAGTCTGCATGAAAGGCGGATCAACGAATATGGTGGTCTTATTTCTAATATAATTTCCAGAACTTCTTGCTGTTTGGTCCTTTATCGATAGCTTTCTCTTCTTCTTTAATTCTAAAAATCTTTGATAGCTTTCCGGTATTTCCACCAATTAGTTTTATAGGTCAATAAGTCTTCGGATTTATTCGATTTTTTTATATTTTATGTAGGAATTTTTCAGAGTATCTCTTCAATTTCATTATCTCGGATGGAAGATTAGACTTTTTTTGATAGTTTTCTTGGGTATAAATTGATCAATTAGTGGCAAAGTTATATCCAAAAAAGTGCTGTACATTTTGACAGCTGTGTCACATGTACTAAAACGATAATTCCAATCAATCCAAGCCAATCTCTGTCCTAAAGATTCGAAATTTGCCTCTGAATAATCATTTACAGTAAAATGCTTTTCGATGTTAATTTTTGGATTACTTATGTTCACTTTGCAAGTAACTGTTGAGTGATCAGATAGAGGCTTTTCAATTTTTATATTTTCCACCATATTTTTCTTAGACGTAAAAATTAGATCCAAAATATTGTTTCCACGAGTACTCTGCTTTACCTTCTGCGAGAAACCCTTATCACACATTATATCAACAAAACTACTACTCACAGAATCAGTCGAGTAGTAGTAGTTTTCTAACAGTATTTTAATGCATTTATAATAAGAATCAAAAACATTGTTTTCTTTCAAAAATTGTCGAATTTCTCTTTTTATATTTGACATTTAATCCAAAAATGAATCACTACAATTATATTTTGGTTCAACTCCACAATTTCGTCTAACCCGGCTTAAAATTTGAAGAAATTTTTATGAAACAATACTAAAAGTTATAACTAAACTTCAACCTATAAAAAAACAAGAAGCGAAAAAAAACCTGAAAAACGCGGAAAAATATTAACTAACCTCATAAGAAAAAAAAATTTGGACTTAAAAATTTCCTGTAATTTTTTGAAAGCAACTATCATTCCATTCGGTACAGTAAGCTTGAAAACAGAACTTTTTCGATTTTCCTTTCTGAAAAAAATATTCAGATTTCTGATATTCTGAACTTCTAACTTTGAAACCAGGTAGATTAGACGAAAAATTGTGGAATTATGCTTTTTTTTTCCTCCTAAAAATTCAAATAAATCTGAATTTTTAATACCGAATATACTTTTTTTTTTATAATACTATGGGAAAATTGCTTTTCTTCTGACAATTTTGGTGATAAGAAACAAAAAATCACAATTTTACTTAAATGTCTGCGAGAAAAATCTTTTTTTATAACTGGGAACACCATTTTTCTCCTAGAACCAAGCATTTTTTTTTTGTTTTTCGGCTCAAAAGGAAGGCTTTTTTTTAAAACTCACGACTATCATCGCCGAAAAAATCATCGTAAGTCGACCAATTGATCTCATAAAGGTCCAAAAGGGCCTGGATTCCCAAAACGGGGCCGTCTTTTTCTTTCAGAATCGCCAATCTTTTCGGCAACCTTTCCCTGGGAAAAAATCAATAAAATCAAAATTTTTCGTGGAAACCAACCTCAAAACGACGTCTTCGATTTCGCAATTTCCATTTCTTGCCAACCAAAATTTTCGCTTCTTATTGATCTTTCCTTTATATTGCGGTCGTTCCCGGAACATCTGAGGGATTTTTTAGGATTAGAAAAAAAAAAACATTGATAAGTATAGTAATGACAGAAAATCAATCAAAAAAATTTCAAAAAAATCGTTGGAAAGAAAAAAATTCATTTAGTAACAATAACAAATAGAAAGTGATGAGCATCTGAAAATGGCCATAAAAGTTTACAACGAAAGGTTTTTTTCTTGATATCCTCCCTCGGGTTTTTTTAAAGGCGCATAGGCTGATTTCACAAAAAGGTCTTGAGGCGAAGAGCTTTTTTGTGCCTTTAATAGGCTCAGGAAGAATTTTTGAACAACAAAAATGAAGTTTCCGGTGATTTAAGGCAAGTTTGGGCTCGAAAATCGTAAAAAAAATATTTTTCAAAAGTCAAAATGACTGAAATATTCAGGAAGGTGCTGAAAAATTGAAAAAGTAGATTTTTTGAGGACAAATGGCAGCAAAAAAAAAGAAAAAAAAACATGAAATGATATTTTATTACATTCCTTATTCATTTATAGGTGAACCTACTCTGAAAAAATCTTCAAATACCCAGAAAAAAAAACGTGAAAACCGGGTTGATGCGTTCAACTTCACCAAAGTTTGAAAAAAAGGCGGTATAAAAAATTCTAGGCGTTTCTACAAGCTAATAAACAGGCTAGGAAAAATCTAATTTCAAAAAAAAAATCAATATCTACAAATCTACAGGATTAAAGCTTGTCGAGATGGAAGAATTCTGTTCAGATTTTGAAAATCAACTGGGAAAAAATTTAGTGGCTATAAAGGCTCGCCAAGGACTACTTGGAAAGGGCACTAAAGTGGCCACTAAACCTACCTCTATAGTGGCCATTATTTTCTGTTTTATTGGCCACTTCAGTAGTTTTTCATCCAGTATTCCTTCCAGTATCTCTGATAATTTTAAAACAAACAGATTGGACCATAAATCTTAATCCATTGACTCCTAAAGTGGCCACTAAAATTTTCAGTTGTCTAGTAGTAGCACTTAGACTTCTATAGTGGCCTCTAATTTTTAACCCCTTGAGTGGCCACTGAAACGTCGAAACCCTAAAGTGGCCACCAAAAGTTTTGCCAGCAAATCGTCCATCTCCGCCCCTAATGGCTCGATAAACCAATCAGAGAGCCTTTTCCAATGACGTCATTGTACTTGAAAATCCGAACAGACTATAAACTATACGAAGCTCCTAGAGATTCTTGAAGAGGTCGAAAAATCAAGGCGGGTCCATGAGGTAAAGTTCATAAAGGAGCCGTTGGAATATCTTGGTGTGGAGATGGATGAGCCGGAAGAGGTAGATGGAGACGTTGGGGGAGAACTCGTCTTCGGAAAGCTCGTCGTTGAGGTCGCCCATCGGCATGGCCATGCCCCTCCGGGTGCACTTGAAGTCGGGCTTCACGTCGCCGCCCAACTCGGCGGCAACGTCAAGTTCCGGTTTCAGGTCGATCTCCGTCTTTATTTCCTGGTTCCCCTGCTTCTCGGCCGTCCGTCTGCACCAGTGCTGGCACACCTGGAAGCAGCTCGGCTCATTTTTGTACTATTTGGTCGCATTTGGAATGGCTAGACGCGTGGCGGCTGCGAAGCGGTTAGCATCAGCCTTACTGGCCATTTTGGGTGTTTCACATTAGTACATCTAACCCAAACTTCTGTGGAAGATAGCCCCAGGTCAAAGGATTCAAAAACAAAGTAGAGAACACAAAAAATGAAACTCGTTTCAAAATAAGCATACTCAGTTATTTTTCTTCATTTATTCTTTGATCAGATCAAGCTTTTTCTCGCAGCTCGACCTACCTTCAAGCTCAAGAACGTACTTTAATTCCCAACAAGTTTCCAAGCCTTTCTTTCCACTAACTTTGTTCAAAATCTACAAAAAATTAACAAAACAGTCTTGAAATCCCACCTTTTTCGAACCTACCTGTGCTCTTTTTCAAAAAAAATTTGAAATTTCTGAACTAAAGACATTTTTTGTGACATAAAATAGCCCGATCTTCAATGATTGTGGAATTCTTCTCAAGCTAAATCTCAAAAATCAAAGTTCAAACTCGAACCGCGCCGCGACCGCAACGCGTCGAGCCATTCTGCATTCTTCCCGAGATACCTTGCCAAAAAACCGATAATAATTGCCGATGGAACTTCTGGTAACGGCGACCCTGGCTTCGATCTCCTCGTAGGTGTCGAAAGGCCTCGAAGACCATTGGATTCCGAGTCGGAGGATTTTGGAAAGACGCAAGTTGCTGCGAATGAACCAGGAGTCGCCGCGGACACTTTTCCGGCCGGTACTGAGGCCTCGGCTGCAGCAGTAGGCGCAGCGCCACTGGAAGACTTTTCAATAGGCCGCGAAAAAAAGGCGAATCGAGAAAGGGTATCGTGATACTCCTCGAGTAGTACCTCTAGTATACCTCTGAGAATTTGGAGCAAAATGAGAGGGACTTGAAGAGACTCTGAAGTACCTCCGAGATGGCTCAGTTATAGCTAAAAGGTATGCTGGAGGTCTCACGATCCATTTTGAGAGGTACCTTTGTGGACACATTATAGTACCTTCTCGATTCGCCTGTCAATAGACTAGCTAAAAAATTAAGGAGAATGGTCACAGCTCCCAGTAAGACTTCTGAATGAGACTAGGCTCAAATGATTTCTCAAAAGCTGCCATCAAAACCTGCAAAACCCTCTGCAGCTAGTGAACCTAGTCACCTTCAGAAGTCTCACTGTAAGCTGGGACCATTTCCTGGGCGCAAAGTTGACTTGTGACGTCACTATTTAAGCTTATAAGGGTGCCGAAAAGCTTCAAACTCGAAATCAGTGTGAATTGTGATCTTTTTTTAAGTACCCAACATTGATTTTAGCGGGTAAGTCAGCACGGTTTTCCTAATGGGGTGAGAGAAGGTGATAGAGGCGTAAAAGTTTCTGAATTAACAAAAAAAAAAGTAAGCGCGCGCTCCGGATAAAAGGACTGTGACGTCACAGCTACCTATGCAAATAAAACTGAGTATTCAACGGCATAAAGAACACCGTACTCCCCATTTGGCTGCGTACTTGAGATTTTAAATTTCGCGCCAAAATTTTTTGACGTCTCCCCACCCCTTTTGGGAACGCCGTGATTAGGTGAATCCTACTATTAGGGCTCTATAGGCTTCGAATTAAACTCGATAAAGACTTCATTCAAACTGATTATTTTCTAAATAGAAGTACCCGTTTGAGTTTAAGCATTTTCAGCTTTAGAAACGTGTAATAGCGCTTAGAAACAAGAGAGTATTGTCTACTGAACTCAATAAAAACTTCGGGAGAAATCCAGGAAGAGTCCTGTACGCGCCAGACCCTTCCTCCCTCCTAGGGTCGCCCGGCGCAGTGGCTTGGAGGTCTGTCTTTGGTTTTAATAGGCTAGGTTCGATTCCTGTCAAGCGCAAATCTTTTTTGCTTTTTTTTTTAAAACTCATTTGGACCCGATAATCGTCCCCGGAAGCCCTAGGAAAGTCATTAAAAACTATTAAAAGCAAGGAAAAGTGCAAAAAGCTCCTTATTCCAATATTTACATCAATTTTCGTCGCTCTGTTCTAAATTCCATTATTTTTTCTCCACCAACCTCATATTGATCGATTAATTTCGGCCTGGCGATCAAATTCATCGAACGGCAGCACCCAGAACACGGCATTTCATTGCGGATAAGTCCATATTTGGCCAGGAATTTCAGGGTTTTCATCAATCCTTCGGCTAAAAAGTGATTTTTTTTTTTGAATTATCAAAATGAAGTTCGTTGCTCTTTCACATGCAAAAAAGACATTCAAAATCCATTTTCTTGAAAATATTTTTGAAGCATCTAAACTTCACCACAAAACCTTGAAACTCAGTCAGGAATTTTAGCATTTTATCAATTTTTCAACTGAAAAGTCATCTTCAGTCTATTCAAATTCGACTTCAAAGACAAATTTCTAAAAAAAAAAAGAATTTTTACTTCGATTTCTTAAAAAGAATCAATTTTCAGGCTACAATTACACGATTTTTTTGCGAAAATAATCAATAGTTTCCATACAAAACTTCAAATTTGACCTTTTTTTCTTCCCTTTTTTTCACATTAAACCCCCAGCCCCCCAACAAAACTCACCAGTCCCCTCCCCGAAAAAAAGTCATTATAAGTCGACCAATTTATCTCATAAAGATCCAAAAAGCCTCGATTCCCAAGACAGGCCCATCTTCTTCCTTCAAAATCGTCAGCCTTTTTCGGGTACCTTTCCCTAAAAATTATTATTTTTTTGAAAATTTCAGAAACCAGCCTCAAAACGACGTCTTTCTCAATTTCGCCGCCATTTTTTTCCAACCAAAACTTTTTTTCTTTTTGTTTTAAAAATTGAGCTGTGTCTTCTCTTGTCTCGCCACATCTGGAAAATCCGTTTTTCCTGAAAAAAAAATAAAAAGTAAATTTAAATGGTTAAAAACCATTCAAAAAACTTCAAAAAAGGGAAAAATATATTTTATTAAAAAAGGCAACACGCAATAAAAAAAGTACACGAAAATCTGTTATGACACGAAAGCCAGAAAAAAATACACATGGACATCGAAAAAAATTATGTTTTGAAAACTTTAAAACGAGATAAAACGGTTAATAAATGGGATACATGAGGGTTAACTCGAAGAATAAGGCGGAGAAGACATTTTCTTCGCGATGAACGAGGCGGAAAAGGAGTTCGGCGCTTCTCGGCTTGAACTCGACGGTTTCGGACCGATCGACAGCCTGAGAACGGGGAATTTTGGGTAGGAAGTTGGTCAGAAGTAGGAAAAATGGAATCGAGACTTTTTGAGTAGGAAAAACTTCCAATTTGGTTCGGAAAACCATTAAACCAGATTTTTTTTTGTTTCTTTCCGTCAACCTGGTCCAAAAAATTGTTCCGAAAAATTGAAAAGCTTATTTTCTTTTCAGAAGTTTGGAAAGCGGTCCCTTGTTCAGAATTTTCCGCTGGATCCGAAAAAATGACTTTTATCGGAAAATAACACAGTTACATCCCTTTTTGGACCGATAATGACTAAACAAAAAAAGGATTTATCGAAAATCCAAAGCTTTGTTCTATGCACAATTTTTCTGCTGAATCGAAAAAAATTTGACCCTCGTTATTCATTTTGAGAAAATAACTTTGTAAATCCCTTTTTTTAAATTCTTTTTTTGAAAGCCTTATTTTACTTTATTTTCAAGTTTTACTACTATTTTTTTCTCCATAAACTGCTAAAAATCTTGTCTTTTAAAAAATATCTTTTTTGGCGTTTCTAAAGAGTACGAAGAGCGTTCCGAAAAGTTGGAAATTGGAAGAAATCGCGACGTCGCACGCGACACTGGGCCGTCGCCTCGGCTGGTAAATCCAAAAATGGACGCTTAACTAGAAAAAAAAAATCTATTTCTGGTCGATTTCTGATCGAAACTAGGTACAGTAAATCAAAGTTGTTTGAAATTTTTCCTAAAACACCAAATAAACCAGTTAAATTCGTCATTTTTACTTAAAAAGAAAAGGTTCGAAAATCTGAATTTAAAATTCATTTCGAAAAATTTTTTTCCTGGTCCCCCATTTAAAGGCATAGGGGCAGTAAAAAACGGTGTTTCAGTTCAAAGCAGTACTTTGTAGAGCTTTTCATTGCGAATCGAACGGTAAACTTGAAAACGTACCGAATTTCTTAATTTCGGAGAAAAAATAATTCAAAGTCGGAGAAAGGAAATCTTGAGTTCCCGCGAAAAGGGCGCTTTGCAGTAAAGTTGCTCTATGGACAACAGGCTTCGCCATCTTCCGGATTTTCGCTTTTTTCTTCGTTTCTTTCAAATCTCAATTTTTTCTGTTAACACCAAGTTCTTTTTCGTCACAAAAAAACTTTCTATTAATGTATAATTTGCAAACTTTGATCGCAAAAAATGCTTCTTTGGTGAAAAAAAATGATGATTTTACACAGGTTTCGATTGGGATAGCGATATTTTGTGTTTTTCTTTATTATCAATGTGTGTTTTTTGTTTGATTAAATGTTTTTTCAGAGAAGAAACCTTTAATTTGAAGCAGATATCCGGTTATTTCTCACAAAATGCGAGTCTAATGAGACGTCCGCAACATCGCGTGTACGGCTACTGTAATCAGTTGTCTGAGCACCGATCCAAAGCTTTTTTCAAAAATAAAAGCGGGAAAGTAAAATCGCGTTTTTCTTCTAAAGTTGTCACATCTTTAATTTTTTTGAGTACACCATTCGATTCGCAAAGAAAAACTGTATAAGATACTGCTTTCACCTGAAACCCCATTTTTTACTGCCCCTATGCCTTTAAAGGTCTTAAGAAAATCTATTTTTTGCTGATTCCAAAAATACCGAATAAACCATTCATTCTTGTAATTTTTTTCATTTTTACGCAAAAATTCGTCAACCCCTGGTAAGATTTCAAAACTTTTTTTATATCTAAATGTTTCGAATTTTTTGGAAAAATCTTTATATTGCATACGATTCAGTGCAAATACGAGATTATAACCCTCTGAGAAAAAAATGTTTAATATTCTTTGGGCTTAAGTTGAAAAAAGGATGAAATATTGAGAAAATAAAGCGGCTTAAATTCAAAATCAGAACGTAGTTTTCCCCGCTCCTATTCAAAAAAAAAATTCATTCAATCAAAATTCTCCTTGTGGTATTTTGGACCAACTGAAACAGAATACCAAAAAAAAAATAGAAAAAAAAGAAACTTCAAGCGAGAAAATGAAGCTCTAAAGCACATACAGTACTGGCCATAAAGGTATTTCAAAGTGGTTATTCGAGCATAACTTCTCTGAAAGTGGCTCAAATGACTTGAAACTTTGCAAAAATTTCAAATAGCTACGCAGTAACTTTTTCCCGAAAAAAAACTTGTTTGCTCAAGTCAGACCGGATTTGAGAGCAAAAAACCAAAAATCGTGAAAATCAAGATTTTTCTCTTGAGATTCGAAAAATCATATCTTCAAAGAAACTTCGTTTTCGAACCAGAAACATTTTTCCCCAGTAAAACAAGTCTTTGGCTTTCCAAAAAACCTAATCAGCCCCTCACCAACCCGATAGTAAGAGCGTAGTGACTTTTTCTTCGAAAGGCCCTTGCGTTTTGAAGCCTCCTCATTCAAATGGACTATACGAGGTCATTTTTGTTTGTGAACACCCTGTATCATGTTGAAAAACTTTGAAACACCCTCAAAAAAAGTTTCACACTGATTTCTTCAGTTTTCTCACTTTATCTGCTCTCCAGAACTCACTAACTTCACCAGGACCGATTTTGAAACCTCTGATTTGAACAGTTTTTCTGGACTTTCGGGCGTTCAAAGTAGTTTGTATCTGGTCAATCGCTTTTAAATCGTGAATTTGAAAATAATTAATGGCTAAATTTCAGGCTCCTACATCCTGAAGACTGCTAAATTTTTTGCTGAAGCATTAGTTTCACAAGATCAAAAACTTATTTTCCCATAAAGTTTAAAGAAACTTTTTTTACAGTGCCTATCTTTGATCTGAGAGCTAGAAAAAGGAGTTAAAAATTTATCTCATGATCTAAAACATTTAAAAATATGAAAAAAAGGGGTTTTTATCATCTTCCACAAGATTTGGAGCCCTCTAAGCAACACTTGCTGAAACGAAGTTTTGAGAACTTTAAGAAACTCATTATAACTCACTATATCTTGCGAATAAGTAAGCAAAACACAGTGGGTCTTCTTTTGTTTTTATTCATCAAGGTTCTAAAGAAGCTCTGAAATCTGAAATGAGAAATCGAGAATGTTCTGATTTTGAAAAAGGAGCATAACCGCTTCAAATCAGAGGTTTCAAAATCGGTCCTAGTAATGTTAGTGAGTTCTGGAGAGCAGATAAAGTGAGAAAGCTGAAGAAATTAGTGTAAAACTATTTTTGAGGGTGTTTCAAAGTTTTTCAACATGATACAGGGTGTTCTCAAACCAAAATGACCTCGTATAGTCCATTTGAATGACGAAGCGTCAAAACGCAAAGGCTTTCCGAAGGAAAAGTCACTACGCTCTTACTATCGGGTTGGTGAGGGGCTGATTAGGTTTTTTGGAAAGCCGAAGACTTGTTTTACTGGGGAAATAAGTTTCTGGTTCGAAAACGAAGTTTCTTTGAAGATATGATTTTTCGAATCTCAAGAGAAAAATCTTGATTTTCACGATTTTTGGTTTTTTGCTCTCAAATCCGGTCTGACTTGAGCAAACAAGTTTTTTTTCGGGAAAAAGTTACTGCGTAGCTATTTGAAATTTTTGCAAAGTTTCAAGTCATTTGAGCCACTTTCAGAGAAGTTATGCTCGAATAACCACTTTGAAATACCTTTATGGCCAGTACTGTAACATTTAAAATTCCTCAAATTTTTTGATTTTTTCTTTTCCTTTACATAAAAAACTTCAAAACGAAACATTTCCTCGACTTCACTCATATCAAAATTTTCCGTTCGAGGTCCTTTAGACCTACTGAATAAAAAAAGAGAAAAAAAAATCAGATCTTGAACTTAGTGCTATAAAGAATCTAATTTTCAGTACTCCTAAAAATATCATGATTTTTTTCCTTTCCCTTGTCAAGAATTTCCTTGAAGCGAGTCATTTCCTAGACCTCATTGGGATCGAAATTCTCCTTTCCAGGACCTTTGGACCTACTGAAACATAAAACAAAAAAAAAAAACGAAAGTAGAAAACAGTTTTTGGATCGAAATATAGTGCTCTGAAGCACATAATCTCAAAAAAACCCCCAAATTTTTCCTTTTTTTCTTTTCCCTTACATAAAAAACTTCAAAACGAACCATTTCCTCGACTTCACTCATATAAAAATTTTCCGTTCGAGAACCTACTGAATCAAAAAAAAGAGAAAAAAAAAACTCGGATCAAGAACAGAGCGCTTTAAAGTACCTAAATTTGAGTTCTCCTAAAATATCACGATTTTTTTCCTTTCCCATGTCAAGAATTTAATCGAAGCGAGTCATTTCCTAAACCTCATTAGAATCAAAAATTCTCCTTTCCAGGGCCTTTGAACCTACTGAAACAGAAAACTAAAATAAGATAATACCTAACTTCAAAAAGCCCTGAATTCCCCCTCTTGTCAGAAGGATCCTTAAAACGAACCATTTCCTCGACTTGACTCATATCAAAATTCTCCTTGTCGAGGTCCTCGGGCCCGACGGGAACAACGACGTTCTGGGCGGTTCGGCGACACCAATGCTGGCAGGCGCTTCGGAACACCTTGTAGTACTCGAAGACAGAGGTGGCGCTCAGGCCGAACTGCTTGCCGGCGTCGGACGCCGAGGAGTTCCTCTCCGTCGACCAGAAGGCCGCCAGTCGGACCAGGGTCCTCATCGGCTGGTGGCATTTCCTCAGCCACGAGTTCTTCCGGACCGTTCTCACCACCTTGTGTCGGTCGCCGCTCTTGCAGCGCCACTGAAATGGGAAATCCAGTTTATTTCCGTTACTTTGAAAGTGCACCCGACCCGAAACGACTTACGCGCGCCGTCATTAGAATGCCCTTTCCTTTTGAAATTTTTGAAAACTGCCCAAAACAATCTTGAATGTACCAGAAGAACATTTTAAAAGCCTTAATCTGCTGAAATATCTAGTTCTCGAAAAATAACCCAAAAATAGGCAATTTTCACGAATTTTCTTCGATTTTGAGGTCTTTTTTCTCAAAAACTAAAAATTTTTACAAACAAGACTTTCAGAAACTTATTTTGGTCTATCAAAGAGGGTTCTGACCAATTTTCGAGAAAAATTCCGAAAAAAAAAAGTGAAACTACCTCCTTATGAGGTGAGAGTCACTAGCGGTTGAAAATTTAAAATTAAAACATATCGAGAAAAAATCTCTATTCAAAAACACACAAAAATAGAACTACTGCCAAAAATTTAATGAATAAATTGAACAGAAGTTGAAATAAAAAAACCAAAACCGTGAAAAAATGGCCTTTTCACTGAATTTTGACTTATTTTTCCTTAATTTTCATAAAACTAACTTCAAAAGCTCCCTATTATCCCAGATTTCCATTCAAAAAAAAAACTAACCACATAAAAATCGGACACTTGTCTATTCTTCACTAATCTCATCATGTTGCCGCACGCACAAACGGAAAAATTCATAATCATTCCGATGCTCGCCAAAAATTTCATCGTTTTCAACACTCCTTCTTCTGAAAATCATCATTTTTCGTTTCAAATTCGATTTTTTTCAAACCTGAATCGTCGCCAATGAGTTCGTCAACAATTGATCTTTTTTGAAAAGACATTTCGAGAAACTTTTCAAGACCGAAACTTTCATAGTCTTCTTCGTCTAAAATCCCAAATCGCGACTTTGGAGCCATGCTACAATTGAAAAAAAATAAGAAACTTGAAAAATATTAGACTTGATAATATTATTTTTTTATCAAAAATATTTTTAATGATGCAAATAATCCATTCAAAATAAAAAAATTAGAACTCAATCAGCCTAAAGAGCACATTTATCAAACTAAATGAGCGATTTGCAGTAAAATCGCTTGAAAATTCTAATTAAAATGATACATAACTTAATTATAAACGGCAATGAAACAAAAAAAAAATGAAATTAGTTAACAGACGTAAATTAAAACGTTTTGTGTTCCCGAACGTGCTTGCACCATTTTGAAATACAGTCATTTTCATAAGAAACAACTCTTTTTTTTTAATTTTCTCACCTTTTGAAATTAGTCTGTAGTGTCGCAGCATCTGGGTGAACGCTTCACGAAGGAAATAAAAAAAGAACATCATATTTTCTTCAAAGCAAGTCATGTGACACAAAATACTGAACCTTTTTCAGTGGTTAAAAATATTTTGATGCTTTACATGATGAAAACTACGAGGAAAGCTTTTTCATTCGTCGTGAAATAATTGAAATATGTTGCTTGGTCGTGCTTCAAACATCTTCCTATATCATTTCGCGTTGTATTTGTTTGAAAACCACGCATTTTCTGCAAGATCATTAATAAACGTTGAACCTGAAATAACATGACTTATTTCGAAAAATTAAATGAATAGCAAGGAATGAATGGCAACGACGTGTTGAGAAAGTAAAAAGAAAAAAGTTTATGGACTCGCCCAGAAATCGAGGAGCCAACAAAAAAGCAAGTGCGCTCTGTGGGGACAATTTCGTGACGTCAGTTTCATTGAACTTTTCAACCTTTTTTTTTAATTCTCGTGCGAATTAAACGTTTTATCGAGCTTGTGTTGTTCTTTATAGCTTCTAGTATGTTCATTGACACTTTGAATGATTATTTGGAAGCACGGAAACTTTTGATTCCGAGTAAAATTTAAAAACGTGTATTTTTTTCATTTAAGCTCTTGAAACGCCGTATTTAATGCTCAGGACTTGGTGAATATCCATTTAAAAGAAGAGAAGTTGTTTTTAGAAGATGAGCTCAATGAAAGAAGCGATCGATCGGGTGAAAAGCCTCACAGAAAAGCTAAAAACGTCGCACGAAGCTCATTCCTCGAATAATTCCACTGAAAATGGGCCGAAATCCACTCCCGTGCAACCTTACCGTGCCAAGATTGAAAAACTGAGTGGTGAAGTTAGTGTTCTTCGAAGGAAATTGAGTAAATCTTCATTTTTCAGGTCGTCGATTCCAATCCTTATAGCAGATTGATGGCTCTGCAAAGGATGGGAATCGTGAAAGATTATGAGAATATCAGGAAAAAGACGGTGGCTATCGTTGGAGTTGGAGGTTTTTCCTATTTTTCTTGATTTTTTTAAGGGAAGATAATTTTTAGGTGTTGGAAGTGTGGTGGCTGAAATGCTGACGAGGTGCGGCATTGGAAAATTGATTCTTTTCGATTATGACAAGGTTTTTTTCTTGTCTTTAACTTATTCTTCAATTAATTGAGTTCACAGTTACTGTACTTTTTTTAAAAATATTTTTTTCCATTTTATGGGATAAAGGATAATCATACGATAGAAAAATATTTTTTTAATTGGGTAAATCATCTTTTTTTCTAATTTTTTTGAAGTTTTTTTAGTTTAAAATGCGTATAGATCTTTATTTCATTTTTTAGAAATTTAAAAAAAGCTCTGAAATTTTGGAGGCTTAAGATGGGGGAGGGGGCTTCTGTGTTTTTTGGTAAAATTTGAGCTCAAGCTTTTTTTATTTTGACCTGATATCGATATATTTCATTAACAAGCTAGTGTTTTATAAGATTTGATAGCTTTTTTTGGTCGAAAATTCAGAAAAATATATTTTCGAAAATTTATTAACCATTTTTTTGGAATAAAGCTTTTTGAAATGTTAATATTTTTCGAGAAAAAAATGTTTTTTTGAAGCTTCGAAAACCTTCCAAAAGTGTCCCAAAGTCTAAAAAATTCGAAAATTGACTATTATAAAAAACCGACCGACTTTTCCAGAATTTCTCAAATTTGAAAAAAGACATTTTCTGGATGAAAAAATTTGAAATTTTCAATTTTGAGGTGGAAATCGCCAATATGAACCGTCTATTCTACCAACCCCACCAATCGGGACTCAGCAAGGTCGACGCCGCCCGGGACACTTTGATGTATTTTTCCCAAAAAAAAAAAGAATTATTAATGAAAATCCCCGTTTCAGTCACGTCAATCCGGACGTCGAAATCGAAACCCACAATTTCAATATAACCACTGTCGATAATTTCAAGACGTTTGTGGACCGGATAAGGTGTGAATTTTTTTCATTTTTCAAAAAAAAAAAATAACTTTTTGGGGTCGGCTCTTTGGAAGGCGGAAAGGTTGACCTGGTGCTAAGTTGTGTCGACAATTTCGAGGCTCGTCTCGCGGTTAATACGGTAGAGTTTTTATTATAAAAAAATAATTGAGGCTTATTGTTGAAAAACGTAAAAAAATTTAAAAAGTATGCAAAAATAATTTTAATTTCGCTTTTTTTGTTTAAAAATATAGACAACCGATTTTTAAAAAAAAGAAAAAAAGAATTTTTAATTTTTCAATCGAAGTCTTCGAATTTTTAATAGATTTCTGAAAAAAATGGACAAAATCTTCATGTTCTAGAAAAAAATCCGTTTACAGCTAGAATTTCGAAAATTTATTTAAATTTTCAAAAAAATTTTTAATTTTGCAGCGAAAAAAAGGTTTTTTTGAACTATAAAATTTTCAATTTTTTTCTGTTTTTTTATTCACCTTTTTGAAAGTTGGGACCTTTTTTTATGGCTTCTCGATCATTAGTTTTTTTGGAAATTTTTCGTTCTTTTTCGGATCTTTTCAATAAAAAAACCAGGAAAAAGCAATTTGAAGGATTTTTTTCGGGCTTTTTTTGACCTTTTTTTCCGTGTAATTTGATAAGATTTTTGAATTTATTTTTTTCAACCTTTTTTTGAACTCCTGCTTGCTTTTTTTCTCAGGTTTCAATGTTCTATGTCAAATTTTTTTCTCTGAAAAAAATTCCAGTTTTTCTGGAATTTTTTTGCATTTTTCATATTGGTTTCCGTTTCATTTGATCACGGTTTCATGTTCTTGTTGAAAAAAACCGTTTTTTGGGTTATTCTTAACTTTTCTTGTAGTTTTTCCTTTGATATCCTGAATTTTAAATTATTTTTCAGGTCTTTCTGAAAATTTCTTGAGTTTGTATATTCATATTCGTTCCATTTTATGATATAGTTTTGCATTTCTTGATGAAAAAATCCGGGGTGATTCCAAAATTTTCTTGTAATTTTTCATATTGTTCATGGAGCAGAGTCTGAATATTACCTTAAGGCTTGCAACGAAGAGAACCAGATTTGGATCGAATCCGGCGTCAGTGAGAACGCCGTTTCTGGCCACATTCAGTACATCGAGCCGGGAAAAACGGCCTGTTTTGGGGTGAGTTTCTGGTCGGGAAAAACTTCTCAAAAGGTGCTTTAAAAATAGCTTCTGAGGGTCACGAACAGATCTTTCTCACTTCCTTTGATGAAAAGATTTTGGAAAGTTGAAAAATTGGTTCGAAAAGGGTCCTCTGAGGCTCTAAAAAAGGAGATCATAAGCCTTTTCCTTCATTTTAGAAACCTTTTCGGCCCCTACCTGGAAAAGTCCTTTCAATTTGCGGCTGGGAATTCTCTGAACGTTGGCCAGACAGCTTCAGAAGAATATTCCTGCAAAATTTCCTCGTTTAAGTCAAAGGATACCCTTAAAACCCATCAAAATAGGCTATTTTCAGGCTTTAAACCCCAATTTTTCGAAAACTAGAAGATTGAAAAAATAGACCTTCAAAAAAGATCCTCTGAGGCTTTGAAAAAGGAGCCCATAAGCTTTTTTATGCCAGTTTTGAAGCTTTCAGCCCCGTCTAAGGATAAAAAAAGAACTTTTCCGTTGTATCTATTTTTGAAAAATGAACTATAAAACGGGATTCTCAGTGTGTTCCCCCCTTGGTGGTGGCCTCGAACATCGACGAAAGGACCCTGAAACGAGAAGGCGTCTGTGCGGCGTCGTTGCCGACGACGATGGCCGTCGTCGCCGGATTCTTGGTCATGAATGCGTTGAAGTTTGTCCTTTTGATATATTTTCTGTAAACCTTTTCCAACCTTTTCATAAGTTTGTCTTAAAAATCATTGCTTGGTTTTTTCTAAAAACTCGTCATGATTGAAACGAATAAGCTCCTTTCTTTCAAAAAAAAAAACGGTCCAACAGATTTTTCGACACTTTTTGATCCCCGGGAACTTTCTCAATTGACCAAACTCTGTGTTCTTCTATTCTTTTTCTCATAAAACCGGGAAAATTTTTAGTGGTCACTATAGAGGCTCGCCATGGACTACTTGGAGAGGACACTAAAGTGGCCACTTCAGTAGTTTTTCATCCATTATTCCATCCAGTAACTCTGATAATTTTAAAACAAACAGATTGGACCAGTTATGTTGATCCATTGACCCCTAAAGTGGCCACTAAAATTTTTAGTGGTCTATTAGTAGCACTTAGACCTCTATAGTGGCCACTAATTTTTAACCCCTTAAGTGGCCACTAATTTGACTACTATAGTGACCACTAAAACGTCAAAACCCTATAGTGGCCACTAAAATTTTCCCAGAATGAGAAAAAATTCAGATTCCTCCTGAATTTCGGCGAAGTGTCCGGCTACGTCGGCTACAACGCTCTCGTCGATTTTTTCCCTCGTCAGGCGATGTTGCCAAATCCCCAATGTACTGACCGTTTCTGTGTACAGCGACAGAAGGAGTATCAAGTGGGTTCTTAAGCAAAAATGGTTTTTTTTAATTTAAGGTTTTTTTTAATTTTTCGTCAATAAGGTCGACTTTATGTATGAAATATGACTTTTTCTGGAAATATAACGGTTTTTAAATGATTTAATTTTTTTTTTCCAATATCTAGCTGAGAAATTCAAAGACATCGATCAAGTGGACCCTTAAGCGAAAAATTTTAATTTTTCATTGATTTTTGTGTTAAAAAAATAAGTGGCTTACTTTATATTTTTTTGCGTTTTTTTGGAAAGATGACGATGATTATGATCTTTTTTTCGTTCAAAATTTCTAGCCCAGGAATTCAAAGACAAAGAAGGAAAATCAAGTGGGTTCTTAAGCAATAATGGCCGTTTTTATTGATTTTTTGTAAAAAATGAGGCTTTTTTTTAAATATCGGATGTAGAAAAATTTTGATTTTTTTCTAGAAAAATGGTGTTAAAATCTTGTTCTTTCAAAGGTTCAGAAGTATTTTGTGACGTGAAAATGGTTTTTCGCTTCGAAATCATTGTAAAATATCTCTATATGCGCCTTTAAAAGGTTCCAGAAACGGTTTTTTTGAACCGAAGATATTGCTGAGAAGTTTGAATAATTTTTAAAAAAATCAATAAAAAAATGGACGTTTTTCGCTTAAGAGCCTACTTGGTATAAGTTAAGCGCTTTTTAAATTTCTCGGCTAGAAGTTAGGAAAAAAATCAAATTTTTTTAAAAAAATTTTTTTGAACTTTTTTTCAGTGACTTTTTATCATTGATAGGTATATTTTTTTCATTAAAAAAATTAAGGAACGAAAAAGTTGCGGAGCCGGAAAAAGTTGAAGAAATCCCCGAGGAGGAAATTGTGCATGAAGAGAACGAGTGGGGAATCGGTGAGTTGGGAAAAATATTTTTTTAAAAAAATTTTTTTGAACATTTTCTGTTTTTTTGATAGTCAGAAAACTTGCACGAGTGTAGAAAAATTTAAAAGACTGAAAAAAACGCGGAAAAAAATTCGAACCGCAACGCTTCGAGCCATTCCAAATGCGTCCAAGGCCAAATCTTCCAAATACAAGTTGACAATGCGTAATTTAATAGTTTCAGGATATTACTGAATTTGTTGAAACTGTTTTTCGAAACAGTTATGTCAGTTATTTTGAACCAAATATTCAAGTGGTCCCTAGAGGGGTAGCCTTGGGTTTAGGGGCCCTTTTAGATCCACTATAGGGGGCACTTAAGCTTGCCAAAGTGGCCGCTGTAGGGTTCTCAGTAAGTGGTCACTCTAGGGGAACATATTCGTGATTTATAAAAGTCTTTTCTTTTCGAATCAGACCGAAAAATAATATGCTTTAGGGGCTAGATTCTGAACCCCTTAAGGGACTACCTGTTCTCTAGGGAGCTCTATTTTGTTCCCTATAGGGGCTGTCATTCTCCTAAACCCTCTAGGGACCACTCTGGTGTTCCTAGATACCATTAGAAAGCTAGAGAGCGTTGAAAAGTCCCGGACGAGTCGGGAAATTTCTAGTGATCACTTTAGTGCCGGCAGAACTCTTAAGTGGTCCCTAGAAATTCTCAGAAAAGTCCGTTAAATTCTAGCTTTCTAATGGTACCTAGAAACACCAAAGTAACCCCTAGAGGGGTCAGAGAAATAGGTGGCCCTATAGGGGACAAAATAGGGATCCCTAGAGGGGTCAGAGAAATTGGCGCCCCTATAAGGGACAAAATAGGGCTCCCTAGAGGGGTCAGGAAAATAGGCGACCCTATAGGGGACAAAACAGGGCTCCCTAAAGGGGTCAGAGAAATAGGCGGCCCTATAGGGGACAAAATAGGGCTCCCCTAGAGGGGTCAGGGAAATAGGCGACCCTATAAGGGTCAAAATAGGGATCCCTAGAGGGCTAAAATTCGGGTAGTCCCCGGGCGCTTCCCCGTTATCGAAGTCCGAGTATATATTAAATAATTCGATAATTAATATATCTAAATTCTAGTGTTTTCCTTCAGTTTGCGTTGACGAATCGCAACCCGTCGAAAAACCGAAAGATAATTCGAATTCCGTCGCCGAAGGCCTCAAATTCGCCTACGAGGCCCCGGAACCACAGGAAGAACTACCGGAAGAAGTAAAATTTTCCAATATTTAAAATAAAAAAATGATTTTTTTTTTCAGATTGTCGTTCCCAAGGACAGCCTGGAAGAGCTGATGAAAAAGCTGAAATCTTTGCAATGAGAGAAATTATTTATAATGCATATTTTTATCCGTTTGTTCATGGGTACAAGGTCTATTTGTATGTGATGATTGTCGAAAATGGCATATTTTTTTATTACTAGTCGCTTTTTTTCGCATTGTTAATGAAGGTTTTGGATTTATGTTGAAAAAACAAGAAAAATTGAGAAAAAAAGATTTTGAGAATTTTTTTCGCCAAAAAATTTCTAGGTGTTTAATGAAATTGAGGAAATGGACTAAAACTTCCCAAAATAGAGGAGACTTACTCATCTTTCTGTGACCTAAGTTTTTATTTGATTCCTTTTAAATTATCTGATGATTAAAAGTCACGTAGAAGTTTTTCCTCTAAAAAAGGACTATTAATAATGTTTATAGGCCGAAAAAAGCTTTTTAATAGGTATCAAAATGAAAATTATGGTATTTTGGAAGAAAATGTTTAACAATGTCGATGAATTCCTCCTAGGAAATTTTTGGCAAAAACGAGTTTCTTCGAAAAGTTTCGAACCCCGGTCTTAGACACCGCAGTGCAGAGCGCTAGCCACTGAACCAAGCTGCCAACTGGAGCACAGGGATTGTACGCGAGCCACATTCCCTCTCGCCATGCAGCACTTATTCAGCGTGCAAACTTTGAAGCTTCATAACTCGAAAACGAGATCTATTGCGAGAAATTTTATTCTTGTTCTGGAAAGAGGAGGTCTTATAGTACCTTTCAGCAATGTTTCAGCAAAATTTCTTGTCACTTCCCTTGTCAGTTCAAAGTTGAATAATTATTCAACTTTTTAATTTTTTTAATTATAATTTTGGAGCTTGAAAGTGATCCTGAAGTGTTTTTCAAGTTTTTTTCCTAATTTTTTTGAGACTTGAAACTTCCTAAATTTCAAGAGTTTTTTTAAGGCTTTTTCCCCAAAAAAATTCACAAACTATTCAAAAAAATCATACTTTTTTTATTCAATTAAAACCACCTCTGATTTGATTAAAAAAACAAGAAATCAATAAAAATATTCGCATCTATACCGGTATATAATAGAAACTCTCGTAAAAATTGTTAATTAAAAAAAATCACATAATGAGATTAAAACAGCACTCAGAAAAAAACACGAAAATTGAGAAGAGACCTGATTTTTTCCCGTTAGTTCTATGAATAGAAAAAACAGCCGAGGTTGAATATATGAGAAAAAAAAGTTTGAGCGCTTATTTTGAAGGTTTTTAAAGGAGCATGGATCCAAATTCCTGAAAGTCTCGAGACGAAAAGCCGTTTTTTGTGTTATTAATGGTGGTTTGCCCCTTTGAAACCCGCTCCAAGGCGTTTTCAACGAACTTTTCAGCAAAAATTAATTTTCGCGTTGGAGCGCAACTTCAGCGCGGCTATTTTTTCACACCAACCGCTCAGTTATTCAAAGTGTTTTTTTTTACTTCAAGGTCATACTTAGATTGTCCAACTAACAAAAGCGCAAAAGACGTTCCGAAAATTTTTAAAGGAGCATGGACAGAATTTTCTCGAAAGTCTCGAGGCGAAGTGCCGTTTCCAGTTTTATTTTAGGTAATATACGCTTTTAAAACTCTCGTCAAGACATATTAAACTTTCAAAACCTTTTTGAAGGCATTTCCGAGGCTTTTCAGCAGAAAAAAAAATTTTTTTCGCGTTAGAGCGCAACTTCACCGCGGCTATTTCTTCACACAAAATGTTTCCCGTTAGTTCTATGTCTAATGTCAAGAAGAAAAAACAGCCAAAGTTGAATACTTGTAGCTTCTTGATGAGCTCAGAGGTCATTGCCTAGGTTTTTAAAGGAGCATGGACAAAAATTCCTGAATGTTTCGAGACGAAAAGCCGTTTTTTGTATTATTTTACACTTTGGGCCTTTAAAACCCTTTTCATGACATTTAAAATTTCAAAACCTTCTTCGAGGCTTTTCCAACAAAATTTTCAGCAAAAAAAAATTTTTCGCGTTGGAGCGCAACTTCACCTCGGCTGTTTTTTCACACCGACCGCCAATTTTTTTTTTCTACTTCAAAGGTCATACTTAGAAGGTCCCCCCTCGAGCTTAATTTCTTGAGATTCGGCCCTCATACACAGGAATTCCCCGCCTACAGTACAAACAATACAACTGAGGATCTGCAAAAGCCACCAGGACAATTGAAACGGGAAAGATAGGTTGAAGGCGACGACGATTAAAAGATGGAAGAAATGAAGGGTGCAGGCAAAGTCGAGACATTGCTTGGCCCTTTGGACGACGACCGAGAGGGCGAAGGCGCAGACGAGACTGCCAGCCACTTGGCACATCGCCATCAGACGGGAGGCCTGGAATCCGAATTTGAGGTCGGTATTTTGACAGTCGAGTCTTATGCTTATGAGGCTTTGCTATTACGGGATCTGAGCGGGCGTACCCGTATTGAGCCCGCTCTCATGATCGCCCAGGGTTCTACCCGTCTCTAACAGTCCTGTTATCAAGGGATCTGAGCGGGTGGGCCCGTTTTAATCCCTCACTCAAGCTGGATACGGATCTCCCGGGTATGCCCGCATTAAACTTGTTTTGAGGCTATTTGTCTCAGTTTTGCTTTAAAACAACCTAAGTTTTACCCGCCCTACTATCACGCTGTTTCAGCGGGCGTACCCGTGTTAAGCCCGATCTGATTCGGGGCAGAGGTCTCAACGGGTGTACCCGTAATTTTAGAGGCTAGTGAGTCTCCGTCGTTCTAAAAAAAATGACAACAGTTCTACCAACCGTTCTGAAACGGATTCTCAGCGGGTCTACCCGTTTAAAGCCCGCCATCATGCTGCCAAGGGATCTTAGTGGGTGTGATCGTATTTTTAGAGGCTAAGTGAGTTTCAGTTGTTCTAAACAAATTCCAACAGTCCTACCAACCGTTCTGAAACGGGTTCTCAGCGGGTGTAACCGTTTTAAGCCCACTATCATGCTGCCAAGGGATCCAAGTGGGTGTAATCGTATTTTTAAAGGCTAGGCTATAAGAGTTTCAAATTTACTGACAAACCCCCCAAGTTCTACTAACCCTGCTATCACGTATTTTAGCGGGCGTTCCCGTGTTGAGCCCGCCCTCAAGCTAGCCAGGGATCTCAACAGGCGCATTTTCAGAGGCTATTTGAGTCTTAGTTGCTCTAAAATTATTCCCAAAGTTCTACCAGCCGTACTATCACTCTGTCTCAGCGGGCATATCCGTGTTGAGCCCGCTCTCAGGATCACGGGTCTCAACGGGTGTATCATCATTACACCCGTTTTATTAAGCTATTTGTCTCAGTTCTGCTAAAAAATGCCCTAAGACCTACCAGCCGTACTATCCCACTTTCTCAGCGGGCATACCCGTTTAAATCCCGATCTCCTGCTGCGAAGGGATCTTAGTGAATGTACCCGTACTTTTTGATGCTCTTTAAGTCTCGGTTGTGCTGAAAAACGCTAAAAGCTCTACTAGCCGTGCTATTAGGGGCTTTCAGCGGGCGTACCCGTTTAAAGCCCGCTCTCATGCTGTCAAGGGATTCAAGTAGGTGTACCCGCATTTTTGGAGACTATAAGAGTCTCGAGTTTACTGACGAACCCCCCAAGATCTACCAACCCTGCTATCACGGAATTCTAGCGGGCGTACTCGTTTTAATCCCGCTCTCCTGCTATGCTGGGGTCTTAGTGGGTGTAACCGTATTTTTGGAGTCTATAAGAGTCTCAAGTTTACTAACAAATCCACTAAGTTCTATCAATCGTGCTATGATGGGATTTTAGCGGGCGTACCATATTGAGCCCTTTCTCATACTATCCAGGGTTTCAAGGGGTGTACCCGTACTTTTTGAGGGCACGCAATTATCAGTTTTGCCAAAAAAAAATGCCCCAAGTTCTACCAACCCTGCTATCACGGGATTTTAATGGGTGTATTCGTTTAAAGCCCGCCCTCATGCTATCCTGGGGTCTCAACGGGTGTACCCGCATTTTTAGAGGCTAAATGAGTCTCAGTTGATCTAAAAAAAATCCCCCAAGTTCTACCAACCGGGCTGAAACGGGATTCTAGCGGGCATACCCCTATTAAGCCCACCATCATGCTGCCAAGGGATCTAAGTAGGTGTACCCGCATTTTTGACGCTCTTAAGTCTCGGTTCTGCTAACAAATTTCCAAAGTTCTACCAGCCCTGCTATCACGGGATTTTAGCGGGCGTGCCCGTTTAAAGCCCGCCCTCATGCTATCCTGGGGTCTCAACGGGTGTAACCGCATATTTTTATGCTATTCACGTCTCAGTTTTGCTTTAAAAAAATGCCAGAAGTCCTAAGAGCCCTACTATCAAAAGTTCTCAGCGCGCGTACCCGTTGAAAGCCCGCTGTTACATTGGACATAAGCCTACACGGGTGTATCCGCATGGGGCCCGTATTTTTCAAGGCAATTATCTGTATCCGTTGTGCGAAAAACCATGCCAAAAGTTGCATTATGGGATTTCAACGGGCGTACCCGCATTAAGCCCGCTCTTATACTGGCAGTGAGCCTAAACGGGCGTACCCGTATGAAAACGGTTTCAGCACATTTGAGTCTTTTTTTTGAAATAAACACAGCTGGGCCCTCATTCCTTCTTGCACCCGTTTTTCTCCTATTTCAGCCTAATTGAGATGCAAATAGCCTTTTAAAAAAACGGGATTAATATGGGTACGCCCGTTGAGACACCTGATTAGCATGAGCGGATTAATAAAGGATAGAGAATGGAAAAATTAGCCATTTTCAACGTCTTAATTTACAAATGAAGGGGTTTTTCTAGAAAATAAATCCAAAAATTCGATATTTCCGGATTGAAAATTAAAACGGCATTTAAGTTAGCTTGAATCTTTCATTTTCATATTTCAAGCTTTGTTGCAAAAGTAACTTGAGTTAATTTTCAAACAAACATTCAAAACCTGGTTCGAAAAGATGGTGCTGAGAACGGGGTCGTAGCCGAAAAAGCTATACAAAATCAACAGGAATGTGACAGTCATGTAGAATATCGACTGGATACAGACCATTTGGCTGATCAGGAGCATCGGATCCCAGACGAACGACCGGAAAGAACTCATCTTCGAGTTTCAGCTGGAAGAAAAAAATAATGAAACATGAAAAAAATTAAAAACATGAATGACGAGACTATGAAAAAAATAACGTTCTCAATTTTTTTATTTTTTTCTTTATAATAATAAAAGTTACAAACACGAAAAATTCAATTGAGATTTGAAAAAAATTATTAAGTGGGCTACAGAAAATCCTTGAGCGATAATTCAAAATTATTATTCAAGAAGCTTCCGAAGTACTTTGATTTCATAATAGAATTCACAGAAGGACAGGAAAGGAAAAACACGGAAAATGAAAAAAAGAAAAAAAAAAAAGGAAAAGGAAAAGTAAGCGCGCTCCAAGGACGCTCAAGTCTGATCAAGAAGCCTCTCGAGGGACTTGTGAATTTACTTTTAAAAAGTTTCACCTTTTTTTATCTCTTTTCTTTAATTTTTGCGTTAAATTTACCTGATTTTTTAGATGAATAACTACTTTGCTCTTTTCTCTTCTATTTTTATAATTCAGAAATGCCGTCGTCGGTGTATGAGGAAAAAGCCAAAGAAAACGAAGCGAAAGTTGAAGAATGGAAAGGCCAAAGACGAGTTTGGAGAACCAGTGGAGGTTAAAAACGTGATTCCTCCGAAGGTTGACGAGTACGAGTACGATTCCTCGGATGAGGAGGTTAGAAAGGACTCTAAAAGTTATTTTATTCATTATTTTTTAGGATTTGCGCAATACCATCGGCAATATCCCAATAAAATGGTACGACGATGAGGCGCACATCGGCTACGACAAATTTGGGGAGAAGATCGCGAAGCCGGAGAAAAAGGGCGAAATCGACGTTTTTCTGGAGAAAATGGAGGATCCGGACTATTGGTCATTATTTTTGGCGCGAATTTTAGATTTAAAGCCGGATTTTTCAGGAGAAAAGTGTTCGACCGTCAGTCGGGAACTCATACGAAGCTTACTGATGAGCAAATTGAGAAGATTGAGAATATTGCATCGGGGAAGTACCCGTTGATCGGCTACAATGCTTATGAGCCGTTTTTGGACATTTTTTCGTCGGAGAAAATGATTCATCCCATTGATAATCGGTTCGAAATTCAGAAAAATCTTGTTAAAACAATAATTTTCTTCAGCATTTAATAAAAAGTAGTTAGAATAGTCATAAAAAGGTGTTATTTTTGGATTTTTTTAACAGAGAAAATCTCGTTGAAAAGCAAACGATTCAATGAAACTGTGGCTTCAGAAATATAAATTGTCTTAAATTTTTTGAGAACCACAACTTTATGTACCAAAATGGTATTCTGCAAGTCCCAATCTTTCTAAAAATTTCTAGCTTAGAAAAAATAATTTTTGAATAAATGAATGAAAAAAGAAACATTAACATTAAAGAAACTGATTGTTTTTCTGATTATTAGGGACTTTATTTCGATTTTCAACATTCAGTAAGAGTTTTCAGACCGGAGCCAAAAGCCCGATTTATCCCGTCAAAAGACGAGATGAGGATGGTCAGCCGGATGGTCCACGCGATAAAAATGGGTTGGGCCAAGGGTCCCAAACAAAAGAAAGTCGAACGGAAGGTTTTTTCCAATCAGAAATAACAAAGATTGATTCATCGATTGAAGGTCTATGACTTGTGGGCTTCTGAAGATTCGATGGAGCACCAGACAAAGTCCCAACTTTCCCGAATGCGGGTTCATATGCCCGCTCCGAAGGTGGGAATAAAAATAGAGCTTAAAACTTTTCGAGGAAGCAGCAAATTAAAAATAGATGGTTCACAAGAAAATTGAGCAGAGTAAGTAGAATATTTTCGAAAAAAATGGGAAAGTCTATTCTTTTTTTAACTTTTTCCCGTCAAAAACTCAATTTTTTTACCAGTTTTTTTCGTGAAGTTGAACATTTTGAGCTTTTTTCAACTTCAAATTCACAGTTTTCCCGTGAAATTCACTAAAAAGTTCAGTTTTTTGCGTGTAAAGTGATATTTTGAGCTCTTTTTCAATTTCAACTACACATTTTCACGTCAAAAAAAGTTGAAGAAGTTCAATTTTTCAGTTTTCTTTTTTTATTCGAACATTTTGAGCTGCTTTTTAACTTTCTATACATAAGTTCCCGCTAAAATCATTAAAAGTTGACTATTTTTCAGCTTTTTCTCCGTTTTTTCTCCAGGAATTGACATTTTTTAGTTTTTCCTAGCTCATTTTTTCACGTCAATCTCACTAAGAATTGACAAAAAAAATTAGTTTTTTTCTTGTTAAATTGAAAAAAATTTGAGCTGCTTTCAAGTTTATCTTCACATATTTCTTTTTCAAAATCACCAAAAAAATTCAATTTCATTATTTTTGTAAATGTGACCATTTTGGGTTGCTTAAAAAACTGTATTTTGACATTTTTCTTGTAAAAATTATTAAAAATTCCAGTTTCCAACTATTTTTTTCTCGTAATTTTGAATTTTTTGAGCTCTTTTTCATCTGAAAATTTACAGTTTTACCGTGAAACTCTTTGTAAATTCGACCAAATTCAGTTTTTACTTTTTGTCTTGTAGTTTTGAATCGCTTTCGTTCACGTTTTTCCCGTGTTAATCACTAAAAAGTCCAGTTTCCATCTTTCTCTTTAGGAAAAATTGAACTTTTTTTCGACTCCTTTATTCAAATATTCATCTTTTAATCATTTTCTAAATGAATCAATATCAAATTTTTGATTCGAATGAAAAAAATTCCTTCAATAATCTTATTCAGATCGCCCTCCCGAACCACGTGGAATCGTACAATCCTCCCGAAGAATATCTATTCGATGAGGATGAGAAGAAGAAGTTGGAAATTTCAAAAATTGGGAGAAAAATCGAAACTTTCTAGGTGGGAAGAAAGTGAGAAGGAGGACAGGGCCATCAGTTTCATCCCTTCGAAATATGAAGCCCTGCGGAAGGTAAGGAATATTCCTTGGAACAAAAAAATCAATTTTTTTATTGATTTTTTTCTGTTTAAACTCGCCACAAAAAAAGCTCAAATATGCTCCTTGGAACCCGTAAAAAAATATCTTTTTTTGCACTTTTTTTCATTCAAAATTAGTTAATTAAGCCATTTTCTGCGCCTTTAAACCTTTAAAAAAAGTACTATTTTTTTAATTTTTATCACTTCAAACTCTCTTCATTTCATTTACTATCTCGTTTGATCGTTCCAGGACCCATTTTTGGTAGAATTACTGGATTTTTCCCTTGGAGATGAGTGAATCGGCTCTCATTGAATATCACTCTGAACTCTCTTATTTTCATCCACTATCTCGTTTGATCGTTCTAGGACCCATTTCTTGTTATAATTATCCCACTTTTCCCTTGAAAATGAGTGAATCGGTTCCCATTGAATATTTCTCTAAGGTCTCTTATTTTCATCCCCTATCTCGTTTGATCGTTTCAGGACCCATTTTTTGTTAGAAAAACTGATTTTTTGTCTTCAAAATGAGTGACTTGATGCCGTAATCAAAGCAAATCCCTTGAAATTCTAAATTTTCTTTGTTTCTCCAATTTTCAGTTATCTTTTCCTTTCTCTGACGGCTATTTTGAATTTGCGGGATCATTTTGTAGAGAAATTTTAAGGCTTCCTAAACGATTTTCCACCAATTTTTGACGTTTTGAGGTCCCGCAATACGACAAATTCATTACCGAAAGGTTTGAACGATGTTTGGATCTGTACCTGGCGCCGCGCCAAAGGAAAATGAAGGTTTATCCGATTTTTCCCCCTTTTTTGACGATTAATTTCAGATTCGGGCCGACCCGTCCATGTTACTGCCCGATTTGCCGAATCCCAACGATCTCAAGCCATTCCCAACGATGCTAGCATTTGTCAGTAGTTGTATTTTTTTCTCGAAAAAAATGGTTTTTTTGGAAGAAAAAAATTGATAGAAACAGCAGTTTTTTTCAAAAAAATAGATGAAAAAAATGAAACTTTTTGAGAGATTTTGAACATGAAATTGGAAAAAAATTCGGTCTTTTTATCGCGTTTTTTTCGACTTGGGCATAGGGAAAAAAAGCTCCTTAGAAGGTTTTTTTGAAAACATCACGTTTTTTTATCTTTTTTTACATGAAAAAAATCCCCTTTAACCATGAAAAAAATTTTTTTCCTGTCATTTTTTTGGAACTTTTACCGTTTCAGCTCCTTCTAGGGGTCCTTAAAAAACATTTTCCCTTTTATCTTAGTAAAAAAAATGCACAACGGGACCTTTTCTGAGATAATAATAAACCGATCGATAAATCAAATTTTGCAGTTCATGACCGGGCACAAGGGACAAGTTAGGGCGATCAGCGTCGAGCCGGAAAAAAAGGCGAACTTTTGGCGTCGGGCGGAGAAGATGGAACAGTTCGAATTTGGGTTCTAGCCACCGGGCGGTGTCTCAAGGTTGTGGGAATGATTATTGATTTTTTTAAAAAAATAGAAAAAAATATATATATTTCTACAGGTTTTCATATAAAATTTCAGGGTGATTTTTTCAGGTTTTTCTATGGCTTTGTAGGGCTTATTTATCCGATTTTTGAACTCAGAAAAGCTTCAAAACAGTTTTTCAATGGTATAAGATCCACAATTTCTAATAACTTTCGAAAAATTTCAGGTTATTTTGGATTAATTCTAGTCTAGTTTTTGATATTGCTCTATAGTGCTTTTTTTTCTTTATTTTTGAACTAGGAAAAGCTTCAAGACAGTTTTTCAATAGTGTAAGATCCGAAAAAAGCAAATAAAAATTCTACCAACTTTTAACATAACTTCTGGGCCAATTTTTTCTCATGCTCTGTAGCGTTTCTTCAATTTTTGAACTCAAAAAACCCTAACAAAGGTTTTTGGAACAAGGATGGTTATTTCTTGATTGGTATAAGATACATAATACTCAAATAAAAAATTCTACAGGCATTCAAAAATTTTTGAAGCTCTTTTTCAAGCTTTTTTTCCTGCTCTTTTTGCAGCTTTAAAATCAATTTTTTTGAATTTCTAATACTTTGAAATTTCCAATAAACTAAGGGAAAGTTAAGGTTTCAAAAAAACAAAAATCGAGCTTCCAAATTTGATTTCTCGTAAGAATAACTTTCTCATCTTTTTGGTCGAATCGAACGAAATACTATGAAAGTTTGTATAACAGTTCTATCCCATTTTTTTATACTTCTTTCTAAATTTTCCTGAGTTTATTCCGTCAATTCAGTTATTGTGTGTCAGAAGTTTAAAATTTCTGTTTTCTTTTTATTTGAAAGTTTGAAGTGTTTATATAGCCATTTTGACTTGATTTTTTTAAATTTCATAGCTCATTCTGAAATATCGATGAAAAAAATGGCCAACAACGTCAAGTCTTCAAAATGGATGGCATAGTTATTTACAGCAATTTCCAACTTTATTATTTTTTTGGATTTTGTTTCTTTTTCCTCTAAATCCTGATTATCCTAAATATGATTTGAAATCTCGATGAAAAATGATTTTTTTTTCTAGAGGTCTTCAAAATGGCGATTCTAGGGATCACTTAAGAGTACTGAAGCTACTTAAGTGGTCACTAGAATTGCCTTGACGCGTCCGACTAGTGTTATGAAAGTTTTTTTATAAACCAGTTCTTCAATTTTTGAACTGAAATTGCGATGAAAAAAACGATTTTTTTAAAGGTCTTCAAAATGGACGGTCCAGTCACTTCAGTGGAATTCTGCCCCAGGTCAGATCTCACCTTGTTGGCCGTTTCTTATCAAGGGAAACAGGTAAGTAGACTAAAATATAGTTTGAAAAGGAAAAATATCAATTTTCAAGACTGCCCTGATCAACACCGAGTGTGGAGATCGTTTACTCGTGTCCAAGACGGAGAAGTTCCTTGAAGAGGTAATTTTTGATTTTTTTAATGAAAAAAATCTTCGAACAAGGTTTGTGCGCTCCATAACTTCATCCGAAATTCGAGTTTTCAAAAAAAAATTTTGGTTTTTTTAAGGAGAATATTGATTGATTTTTTTAATAAAAACGTAAATTTATAGGTTCCAATAGGCGAGGCAGAAGAAGGAAACGTCAACTGGCGCCGTGCGAAGAATCGAATCGTCCTGAAAATGCCAAATGTTCGCATTTTATTAATGAAAAAAGGAAAAAAAAATTTGAAATTTCTGATAAATTCAGAAAAATGAGTTTTTGGCCTGTTTATAGAAGGGTTTCGAGGGAATTTTTTTTTATGTGTTCAAAAATTTTCCACTGAAGGCCGTGGCCGCATTTGGAATGGCTTTGAGAAAAATTCCTTTTTTCAAACAGTTTTCCGCCAAATCATGCTGGAAAATCGATCGAAACAGTGAAAAATGTGTGTTTTTTTGTAAGAATAGTCTATTTCCTACTTTTGAAAGGCTGTGGTCGCATTTGGAATTGCTCAAAGGGTCTTGGATTCCTTTCGATTTAAAAAATTCACTTTTTTCGAACAGTTTTACAACGATTTCAGTTGGAAAATTGATTGCAAGTTTGAAAAATGTTGTTTTTCTATGTAAATTTCCTTTTCTAGGTACTTGAAAGACCCTGGTTGCATTTGGAATGACTCCTCCATTCGAAAATTGACCTTTCTTGACAGTTTTTTTTTGTCATTTTCAACTGGTTGAAACAGTGTAAAATATGGATTTTTTTCACGGTAATTGTTTTTTTGTAGGTAATTAGAAGGCTGTGGCGCATTTGGAATGGATCAAAGAGTTTTTTTATTGCCTTTAAATTGAAAAAAATTCTCTTTTTTTACTAACCAATTTCAATTGGAAAATTTATTGAAATCATGAAAAAAATGTAGTTTTTTTCTAAGAAAATCGCCTTTTCTAGGTACTTGAAAGACCCTGGTCGCATTTGGAATGACTCTGTGATTTAAAAAATTCTCTTTTTAAACGTTTTTTCACAAGTTTCTATTGGAAATTTGATTGAAACTGTGAAAAATGTAATTTTTTGTGAGAATAGTCTGTCCTCGACTATTGAAAAACTATGAAAATCGCCTTCTCTGGGCAATTTGAGGACTGTGATCGCATTTGGAATGGCTCAAAGAGTTTTTTTATTCTCTTTAAATTGAAAAAAATTCATTTTTACTAAAAAAAGTTTTTCCAACAATTTCAACGGAAGATATTGGTTAAAACAGTGAAAAAAATGTAATTTATCATAAGAGCCGTCTTTTCCAGGAAGTACGGCAAGTGACGTGGCACGGTCGCGGCGATTATTTCGCGACGGTTTCCAGCGACGATATCGCTCAGTCCGTCTATGTTCATCAGTTGAGCAAGGCCAAGAGCCAGGTTTATCTGTTTTAGGTAATTTTCGCAATAAATATTTTTTTTCAGTGCCCATTCACGAAACGGAAAGGCCACGTCCAGATGGTCGCCTTCCATCCGACCCAGGTAAAAAAATGCTCAAAGTTTAAGAAAGAGCATCTTTTTTTCAGCTTTTTGCAGTATTTAAAAAAAATTCTTGGATCCTGTATGCTTTTTTTCAGTGTAATCCAAACATTTCAATACATATTTCAGGCCTTTTTTTAAGACTTTATTTACAATTTTTAAAAAAACTATCTTGGCTCACTTTTTTTGACTAAGTTTCCACGAAGGAAATCTTCATTAATTAAGAAAAAAATCGTGAAATTTTAGTAGATTCCTGTTGAAAGCGATATATATTTTTAATTATCACTTTCTTAATTTTTCTAGGCTCGTTTATTCGTGGCGACGAAGATCCATGTAAGGGAATACGACCTCTCGAGATGTCTTCTCGTGAAAAAACTGATTACGGGTCTCAAACAGATTTCCGCCATGTTGCCCGACTCGACTGGAGAGGTTGGATCATTTTATCAACTTCATGAGGGGGAAACAGCCCTATTAAAAACACATAAGTATTCCCTATAGGGGCAAGCGGGAAAACAACCCTTAAGAACTCCAAAGAGCTCCCTATAGGGGTGAAAGATAGGGAGTCCCTTTAGGGGTTAGGCAGGAAAAACAGCCTTATTGAAAACAGAAAAGTATTCCCTTTGGGGTGAAAGATAGGTAGTCTCTTAAGGGGTTAGGGGAAAAAACAGCCCTATTAAGGACACAAAAAGTACTTCCCTACAGGGGTGAAAAGTTAAGAAGCCCCTTCAGGGGTTAGGGGAAAAACAGCCTTATTGAAAACAGAAAAGTATTCCCTATAGGGGTGAAAGTTAAGAAGCCCCTTCAGGGGTTAGGGGGAAAAACAGCCTTATTGAAAACAGAAAAGTATTCCCTTTGGGGTGAAAGATAGGTAGTCTCTTAAGGGGTTAGGGGAAAAAACAGCCCTATTAAGGACACAAAAGTACTTCCTACAGGGGTGAAAGTTAAGAAGCCCCTTCAGGGGTTAGGGGAAAAACAGCCTTATTGAAAACAGAAAAGTATTCCCTATAGGGGTGAAAGTTAAGAAGCCCCTTCAGGGGTTAGGGGGAAAAACAGCCTTATTGAAAACAGAAAAGTATTCCCTATAGGGGTGAAAGTTAGGTAGTCCCTTTAGGGGTTTAAAGTTCTGACCCTTAGCCTCCTGAAAGGTCCCTATAGAAGTCTTTAAACATTCTGTGACGAACTACAAGTCAGGGGCAGGTATTTAATAAAACTTGATCGAGCTGCAAGATTAAGTGGCCCCTATAGGGGGAAGATAAAGTGGTCCCTAGTCCATATATTCATTCTAACTATGATGAACCATTTTAGAACCTGTTCCTCGGAAGTTTGGACCGCCGGTTCGCTTGGATGGACCTGCAACTATCCAACAAGCCCTGGAAAAAACTGAAGCATCACAAATCGGCCATCCGATCGGTTGCTTACCATAAAAGGTGCCTTTTTTAAGACGCGGTCGAAAAAAAAATCGTGAAAGCTTTCTTTTTCAAGTTCCAGAGTGTTTTTCAGTATAACTTGTTTGAAAAAATCCAGAAAAATGGTTTAATTTTGAAGATATCCCCTGCTGGCGACGGTTTCCGACGACGCCACCGCATTGGTCTACTACGCCCGGATTCATACGGATTTATCGCGAGACAATGAAATCTACCCGGTCAAGCGTCTCAAGGGCCATGAATCGGTAATTTT